TGTCTCCCTCTACACGCCACACGTGCTCCTTGAACTGGGGCAAACGTGGACACGGAGTCACAGGTGCGATGTGGACGGCACACACCTCCACAATGAACGGTGTCGTGACTTTTTGAAAGCGCAAGACCCACTTATAAACTTGATTTTTCACTGACTGGATATTTGATGATATTAAGCAAAAAATAATTTTTTCTGCTGTGATAACGGGATTGTGGTTATGTTTTTAAAAGATAGAATTGGTTTCTTTTAGAGATACATACACATGCAGGACCCAGGGGGGGGGGGAGTGGGCAGAGGTGTAGATGAAACCAGATCAGCTATATGTTGATAGTTATCGAAGCTTGGTGACGGGCATATCAAGTTCATTAAAATATTCTATTCTTTGAATATGCCTTAAAATTTCCACAATAAAAAGAAAAAAGAAAACTCAAGTTTTCTTTCAATTAAATATCCATGGAGATGTTCTCCTGAAATAGTACACAGGGTGAGTAATTTCTGACCCCCTAGGAGGGGCAACATTAGCACGCTTACTCCTATGTAAATCAAAGCACAAAAAAAAAAAAAAAAAAAAAAAAAAAATCAAAGCAACGATCACAGTGGGCGCTCCAGGCGGATGGATCAGGTCAGGCTCTTGCTCTCGGCCTTCGCAGGGCCGAGGACACTCACAACAGAGGCCGAGTCCCTGCTCTGAACGGAATGTGGCTCTTGGCCTTCCCTGGCCTCTCTCCCTACCGTCCTCCGTGCCTCACTGAGCTGCTGTCCTGCTGGGCTCCTTCCCGTTCTTGAGCATCCCAAGCACATTCCAGGGCCAGGGCCCGGTGCTGGAAGGCTCCCCCCAGTACTCACGTGGCGCCTTCCCAACTTTCAAAGGGTCACCTCCTGAAAGAGTCCTCCCACGACCAGTCACACTAATGCCCATCCTCCCCGTCACGCTCCAAACCCTCTCCTTCTGTTACTCGTCATAGCACTTAGTACTAGCTGACACCAAACACATTTATCCGGTTATAGTCTGTCTACCTCACTGACGGTAAGCTCCATGAGGGCAGGGACTATGTTCAGTTCACTCCTGTATCCCCAAACACACAGCAGATATGCAAGAAACACTCGTTGAATGAACAGACATGTAGGCTGCGGAGCAAAGCTGGTCTCCAGGCTGGCTGACCTGGGGACCAGGGAGGAAAAACTCGTGCTCATGACCTGTTCCTTGTGAGCCAACAAGTACAGGCAGAAGTGGCTACAGAATGAAACCAACCATGTCCAGAGCAGCAGAAATGAGGCCCCACGGAAATCTGAGCAGTAAGAGACGCCACTGGTCCCTTATGTCAAAGTGGGAGAGAAGCTTCATGGTTAAAGCCAGAAATCCTTGACAGAAATGATCACGATTGGATAGAGCAACAGCCCTCCAATCTGCTGTCCTGAGCATTACATTCCAGGACTTGGAGGATTACCCTCCTACTCAAGACTTAAGTCGCTTGAAAACCAACCAGCTTTGAGGCCCTGTGCCTACCAGGCTGCTGAGAAGAATCCCGTCAAGCTGCCTGCTCTCACCATAGAATCTTCCTCTGGTGTTCTTGTGTTGAGACCAAAAGCCCCAAGTTTCTGGTTTGAACTTTACATTTTTTCAAGAGAACTCTTCTCTAAATCTTAAAGGTTTGAACAGTTCATTAAGGCAAGATGGCCATCAGTTCCGGGCTTAGACATGTATAACGGGGTGGGGATGCAGAAAATGTGGGAGACATCAGAAGTCTGAAGTGGAACGGTGATGGAGGGAGGGTAGAAAACACTGATAACCAAACCCACTTGTTCCCACAGCCTCTCTGGAGCAAGCCCCAAGTCATCACCCTCACCGGGACCAAAAATAATGGCAGCCATCACTTCCTGAGCACGTGCTGTTCTTCTTCTACATGACTTCATTCAACCCTCACATCAAACTGACCTGTGACAACAGTACTACTAGGATTCCTAGGTTACGGGTAAGAAAAGTGAGGCTTTGAGAGGTTAACTTCGGCAGCATGGTCAGGATTCAACCAGGCTGGTCTCAGTGCAATGAATTCCTGAGGACAACAGCACCGTGGTTGAGAGCGCAGGCCGTGTGCCAGCTGCACACCGACCAACATCTGCCGGGGAGAAGCCATGTCCTGCCAACCCTGAGGATTACCGTGGGGCTCGGCTCCATATCGCCCTTCTCAGAGAAGCATGTTTATCCAACATGCTCCAAACGACGCCGTCATTCAGTAACAGGGGTGTGCGTGCGTGTGTGGTGAGGGTGAGGAGACAACTGAAGTCTACCCTGCAAACTGACTTGTTCTCTAGTTACTCCACTACCAAACCCTGGCAAGGGAGAAGGGGGAGCTGTTTTGGGCTACCTTCAATATTTACCAAATTCAACAATATAACAAATATGCAAAAATATAAAAATAACAGTTGCATAAAAACTGAGCAGTATCTGTGCTAGTCATGGTAATGACACTTTAAACTTACTATTCCTAACTTGAGCTGGAAACACAGCACCATGAGGATGGTGGGGAGGTGGTGGCAAAAGACAACTGGGCTTGATCTGTCATTTCTAATTTTTTTTAAAGAAATACATTTGTGAATTTCTGGTATAACAAAAAATTTTTAAATGTTGAAGATTGAAAGGAAATACATCCAAATATTGCTTCCTGGTAGTGGAACAATGGTGATTTTAGAATTTCTTCCTTCGACTTTTCTGTATACTCCAAATTTTCTCTACTAAGGATATGGTATAATTATGGAAGACCCAATAAACTTTAAAATACATTTTTAAAATTAATAGAAAATAACTATCTCCTAAGTTCTTAAGGTATTATTAAGGAACACATGGCAGAAGAGGTTATTAATTGCATCTCATTAATAAACAGGAATAACCACCCATATACTTAGAGTAACTCGGAACTACGAGTAAAAAATATAAGCTAAATGGATGAAAAATCCTTGCGTGGGTGACTGCTCTTTTAAAGGTAACACACTCAAACTGTGCTGTATGGAGAAAAAGAAAAGTTATTTGGGGGTATTATAGGTGATTTGAAAACTTTAATTTCTTTTACCCTTATAATGAAAAACAATGAAAGATATTTTAAAATATCTTATGCAGATACATTTACAATTTCAAATCACTTCACTGGGTTCAGATGGCTGTTTTACTGGTATCCAGTGAGTCTCAGCTCTTACAACTAGGTGCAGGCTGCCTCATGGACAACCGGACGCATTAAGTACTTCCATGCCTACTGCACAGGCAGGATTCCTATTATTTTCAAATAAATGGCATTTCTTGAAATATTAATTCCATTGAAGAGTCCAGCAAAAACACTGGAACTTACCAGCTAAACGTCTACAAGTGATACTATGTTGAAAGGCAGCCCTGATTTTCATTTCCCCAGATTCACAACTGAAAGGTTGCCCCACCGGAAAACAGCACCCCCAATTTTGGTTGGACTCACAAGGTCACCATAAGCCCCCCACAAGCAGAGGCTTGACTAGAAGTTGGGACCTAAATTCTAGATTCAGAAGTAAGGACATCTTAATTTCTGGGATTCTCTCCTCACGCTTAAAAAGAGATTTCGACGTCATCTCTGAGGCCCCTTTCCCTGCTTCTAACATCCTGATCCTAAGCCTTTAAACTTGACACTGGAATGAAGAACAAATAAAAGGTTTCTTCAAAAGCTGCTGTTCCCTTTCTGGATTATTACACAGCTTTAACCTGCAACAGCTGAGAATGAAGGCTAAATTTTATCCAGAGCCAGCTTACGGCAAAGTGATCCACACAAATGTTTCGTGGCTTAAAACAGACCATGTTTTTTAATGTCTGGCATTTTAGATACTTAATATCTTCTCTGTTATAAGAGATTAGTCTTTTAGTAAATTCCTCACCCTCTTGGCAAGGTTCCTAGGAAGGTCATTCCAAACCAACTATGTCTTGAGTTGAAGTTTTATATACACTAAGCCTTGTAGTTGTTTATTAAAGAACCTACCGTAAGAAAGGAGGATGGCTACTGTATCAATTTGCTAGGGCTGCTGTAACAAAATACCACAGACTGGATGGCTTAAAACAACAGACATTTATTTTCTCACAGCAAGGTGTCAGCAGGGTTGGTTTCTTCTGGAGGCCTCTCTCCATGTCTTCACGCCGTCTTCTCTGTCTGTGTCCCAATCTCCTCCTCTTCTAAGAACACTAGTCATATTGGGATTAGAGCCCACTCTAATGGCATCATTTTAACTTAATTACCTCTTTAAAGACCCTATCTCCATATACAGTCACATTTTTAGGTATCAGGGGTTAGGACTTCAACATAAGAACTTCGGGAGACCTGATTCAGCCCATAACTGCTATAGTTTATGATTTTTCTTTTTCACATACTTTGAGATAAGTATTTATAGTAGGTTTAACCTAAGTATTGGGAAGAGAATTTAAAAATCAAAAGAGGCCTGTAACTTGTGCATGTAAAACATAACTGATGTGCAGAGAATCTGCTGTCTCCCTAGGCACTACACCTGTGCGTTAGGCTCTACCAGCAAACTTTTAGAGAACTCTGCCCTCAGCAGCAGCTTCAGGTGGAAAAGGTAAGTCAAGCCCAGGAACAGAGGGAAGTGAACTTCAGGAACAAAAGCCAAGATTCACTCCATCACTCGACAATCGTTTTCCTGAAGGCCTCACTATGTGCACAGCACTTTGTTAACTGACGCACCAAAAGATGGGTCAAGTCTTCACTCATCCAGATCAAAACTTTGTTTCCCTACAAAACAGTTTCTCAAGGCATGTCCTCAGGACACCAGCATCTGAGGCACCTGGGACGTCTGCTATGAATGCAGGTCTCTGCATCCTACCTCAGACTCAGTGAATCCAGCTCTGGGCCCGGGAACCTGCACTTCAACAAGCACCCACCTACTTGCCCACTGGAGTCTGTGGGTCTTGCTCTGAGAGCTGTGTGCTGCCATCTATGCACCCACTATTCACCCACAAGAAGGATCATGATTGCCCAAGTTGCGAAACTGCATACATCTTTATTTCACACACAGTGCAGTCTAGCAGAGGCAGAAAAGTACTCTGCATCACACTCATGACCAATATCCTCTTATATCCATTTGGTATGTCACTGAAAACCTGGCACATAATTTAGATAAAAATCACATAAAAGATCCCAGAGAAACTGATCTAATGGTTTTCCCCAAACAATAGATTTCCTCTTCATTAGTAAGATCTGCACCTGCTGACAGGGGCACACCATGCAAACCTGACAGCGATAGTCACTAACAAGGAAGACTATACCTATGCTTTCAAGTATAAAGATTAACTACGAATGCCAGAGAGCCTAATGTGACTGTAATCAGCTACCAAGAACTCGAAGAGGAAAGCAAAGGCACTACGGAAATTACACTCTTCCTGGAAATTCAGTCCCACAACCTGTATGAACAAGGGTCCAACACCCTGCAGAGGCAGCAACGCTCATCAGAGGGTGCTGTTCATGTGTGGAAGTGCACTGGCCTCTCCCGGCTGTGTCCTTCCCTGAGGTCCACTCCACTGGCTTCAGATTGACTTGGTCCACTGGTCTCAAGACAACCATTCGGAAGAATTTTGGTTGTAATCTTTACAGTTCCAAGAATCTATCTTGGGTCAAGCCAAGAATAACATGTCCAAAATATAGATGTTCTCATGTATGACGGCCATTCTGCAGGTTACATATTTATATATACATATATATATCAGTTACTGTGGGAGACAAAGCTTCCTTGCTCTTCAGCAGGAGAATACTGCAGCCGGCAAGGCTGCCTTGGCTAGCTCTTCTTCCTGTGTTCCCTCATGTGCGCAGCAATTGAACCAGCTATTTCCGCATTCTTCTTGTTCTGGCCAAAATAATCTAGAAACTCACCATCTGGTCCAATCAAGTACATTATTATTGTGTGATCCACCTGCAGAGAAGAGGGGTGGGGTGGGGATGACAAAAGATTATCAAAATAAGCTGCTTCTTTTACTGAATAAATGCTGCAGAACAAGAGAACGTCACATCAATGGTTAAACAACCTTTGTGGCATCTGTTATTTATGGAACAGGCCTAAGCCTGTAATTCACAGTGACAAATCATCTAAAATCTTTTGTGTTCCAGGAATTTGCACTGACTATTGCTTGACACATCAGCTAGAGCTTGGAATTCTTGTGGTTCACTCCTTAACATACTCTACACAATCTCCGAGAAAAGGAGCCACTTCTAAGGAATGGCTGCTGCCGGCCTCCATGGAACAGTCAGCGCTTGCGGAACAACAATGTTTGCTTGGCAAGAGCTTACGTTTATGAGCAAATATTTCATCTAACCTCAACCATACTATAGAGAGATGTCACATGGAATTAAAACTGTTGGTGAGAAATTACTTTAATAAATTCTTGGGTGTATTCCTTTGTGTTTTAGGAAGAACCAGTTATCATTCATTACTGCCTAAATTCTGCTTACTATGTTTTATGAGAAGAAATCAGAAAACTAACCACTAAATATATAATTTATAAATTTTACCACAGTATTTACTCCCGATATTAGTGATTCAAACAGAAACACAAAAGAATACAAGTGTTTTTCTCCCCTAGGAAATTTTTATACTACACTGAACAATACTACCTGAAGGAAATCACCTGGAAACTCCTCAGGGGTCATAAATGCTACACCTCCCAGGACTAATCTTAAATCCATTATCCATTTTCCTGGGAAAGGTCTTAAAGCACTCCTAGCTCTAACTTAAGTTTAGTCATCAAATTTTTTCAGTTATATGCTTCCAAAAATCCAATTTTGAATGAGCAGAAGACTTAGCACTTAGAGTTCTTAGAATTTATTGCAGACTTGATTGCTATTTGACAAGACAAAAAGACACGAATGTGATCACACATACCAAACAGGAGACACCCCCTAAATATACCCGAACACACATTATATGTCTGTGAGGTTATTTCTTTATATACACACATTCATAAAGAGATAGCAAGTGGAAAGAGACACTTGCCTACTCACATAAGGAAAGAATGTACACCAAGAGAGCTCAAACAGCTGGTGATTTCGCGCATCTTGGTGTAATTTACTGCAGGAGTTGGACAGGAGATCTATGTCTCTCTACACATTTGATACACAAGTCAGAATCAGGTCTCCAGCTGGCTCTTCAAACCATACCCTGTAGCTTATACCTCTCTTTCTCCCTCCCTATTTCTTCCTTTTTTTGATTCTTTCTCTTCTCTATTCTATCTCTCCCTTAAAAAACAGAATCCCAGTGTTGGACTTACTTTATGAGTGTTCTTAATATAAATTACTTCCTAATACATACTAAACTATTGTTCTATCCATATCTGTCAAACTTGTCAGTGGTCACGTCTCAATGTTCACTTGGGTTGTGGGCTGAGCAAACCGCCATCTGTTTCTAATACAGAGTGCTTTACGGTTCTCGTAGCTTCCAGTATGGAAAAGGAACACTAGCATTTACTGACAAGCTCTTCCACGCGTCCCCTTAGCCCGGGAGATGGGTATCACACTCCTCCAATGACTAAACAGGCTGAGTTACACAGAGGTGACTTACAGAATCAGGAAGTATCAACCTAAGCTTAGAACCTAGATCTGTCCAACTTCAAAGTCCACAATCTTGACATATCACCACGTTGCCATCATCTCTATTGGAATTCTACTGGAGAACAACCGTTTTTCCAATGCGCAAGTTTATATATATGTACATACAGACATATATATATAAAATTATTTTTTGAAATGGTAATAAATGCACAAAAAAAAAGAACAAAAGAATATGTAGTAAACTCATACAGTCAAAGTCCTCCTCTCCTTCCAGACTCCCAGAGTCCCTCAGAGGGACCCACTGCCACCAGTTCCTTCTGTATTCTTCCAGAGAAACTCTCTGCATTTATCAGTATGTGTGTATATCTACCGATTTCCTTTACCACCTACCACCTATTTCTTTTATACAAAAGTAACATATACTGTACTTGTTTTCTCATTTAACAATAGACTGGATCTCGTGCTGTATCAGTACATATACAGTAATGCCTTAAAAACTGCTTGGTTTTCAGTCTTTTTACAAACAATGCCATAGGGTATATCTATAGGACAAATTCCAAAACGTGGAGTCTCTAATCTAAAAAGTATTCCACTTTAAGTGTTGATAAGATACTGACAATCTGCCCTCTGAAGAGGGTGTATCAGTTTAGCTCCTATTAACAATGCATGAACGCGCCTGGTGTTCCAGTTCATTCCAACAGTGTATTTCCTCTTTTCCCAAATTACATTTTGACAATATATTTCAAACTTTTGACCTTTGCTGATCTAACAGGTGAAAAATGACATCACGTTATATAATTCACACTTATTATGAGTGAAACTGAACAACAATATCCAATATATTGTTAAATGAGAAAACAAGTATAGTTTTCTTAGGTTTGAAAGCCATTTGCATTCTTTTTTAAAAGTGTTTTCTAATTAACACTTACAGAATAATGTAATAGTATATATATATCGCAATGACGTGCACATTTAGCTTTCAATGGAGTCCTCCAGGTTTGGCATGCCCAGCTTACATATACTATCAGTCTGAGGGTTCTACTTGCATTCAAAAACCAAAAGCCTACCTTTTGTTGCCGTTGTTTGAGATTAAGAAAACCATTCCATTACATCTCAACCTTTAAGGCACTCCCTCACTCCTTGCAGGTCCTTAAATCTTAACAGAAGTTTCCCATACCATCTTGTGGATGGAAATCTGTGACCTCAAGGGACAGAAATACTAATGGAAAACCCAAGAAGCTGGGGAGTGTCTCCCCCTATTGGCTAATTTAGCAAACATGTAGCAATGAAGTCCTCACTGATTCTTATCAAATTCTTATGGCAGTAGACCAGTATTTCTCAAAATATGGTCTAGGATGTATTCTAGAGGGTCCAAGAAGTCTTCATAAGACTTAAATATTTCCATTTTAATTTTTAAGATTAAAGAAACTAATATCTATATTCTGGATTATCTGCATGTCTACCTTATAACAGTACAAATCTCAGTGCCCAAACCTATGTTTATGTTTACGAGCTCATTGGCACCGAGCTGTAAACTATTGGTTATAGGCAGACAACAAGAAAAGGATACATGCTTGCTGAATGAAGACCAACTAGTCAAGGCAGACTACACAATCAAAGGTTTCAGAACATTTTAAATAAAAAAACACAAGGGGCTGTACACATGATGGTACAGCTGGGTATCTGAGAGCAGTCCCACCCAAACCACATTCTTGTGGTGAGTAGGGCTTTGGTTTCAGCAAAGTATTTCACGTTACACTAACTGAATGTTTTACTTGAGTTTTATAGATTGTTTGGTTTTATTTGTAAAATTTCTTTTTGACTTTAGAATTACGAGCTATAAGCACAAGACTAAGGAGTGTTACCTAGATTATAATCGTATATACAATTTACCAAAACTCATTTAACACAAGAAGTCATAGACTGATTAGCTCACCTGCTCCTATTATCATAAGTTAAACTCAAGACCAGTTAATATAACTCTCTCTTATAGAAAGAGTAAAGAAGTTTGAAAAGTGCTTCTTTTTCCATGGCTTCCTCTCTCGGCCATTCCTCTCCTCTCTCTACTCTCCTTCTTCTCACGCTGCTGGTGCAACAAGGGGAAACCACAGTAGGGTCCCCTACTTTCCTTAAACTTAGGGCTTAAGGAAAAATGCTGATTTTTCTCATCTTTTTCTCCCATGAATCCAAGTTTCCCTAAGTCTCTGAGGCACCAGAACTGGAAAATAAGATTACTGCAAAGGGACCAGAAATCTGCCTTTAATTTAGGCCGTAGGCTACAGGGCACATAATGCGTTCCAAGTTCGAAGGTGATGGAGAAATCACAGTGGGCCGTAGAGACAAAGCACCACAGTGAGATGTCCCCCCTGCACATCGCTACTGGGAACCGGTTACAGCAGGGAATGAATTCTTATTCATTCACCCCAAACATGCTATACCTCATGGCCTAATACTGCTTCTCAAAAGGAGTATTATGTCCCCACCTCTTCACTGGGGACATAATTTATTTGGCCCCAACGTGTATCTTTATTTCCATCAAGGTATCCAAGTATTACACTCTACCGAGTCTAAGATACCACTCATTTTATATTGCCCCATAATTTTATGTACCACTAGAAAAGAAAAACGGGCAATTAAATTATGAGAACAGTGAATATAAATTAAACAAGCATCCTTAAAAAAAAATTATACTTCTACTATCCTTTCAAACATCCCTAATACCTAAGAAATTTTCAATAATCTCAGGTTTTCTTTCTTCTCTGAAGCCAGCAGTCACTTAAAGCTATCTGAACGTCTGGGACCTGGGAACAGGCCCACGGGCTGAAACCCGAGCATCTACTTACTATGTAGTCCTCATCTTCATCCTTGGGACCAGGGCTGTAATACACTCGGTATGCCCTGGCCACTTGATCGATCTCTTCTTTTGTGCCAGTCAAACCAATCAGTTTGGGAGAAAATTCTGAATAAAAAATGAGAAATACAGTGAAAAATGAGAAGCAAGCAATACCACCATCCTTATTTCAAAAACCAGTATCAGTTATAAAGCAGCCCTGTGGCCAGTTTCTTCCTGTGAGTTCCTAAACAATTCCTCATGGTTCAAAGGAAAAGAAATTCACACAAAACAAATGAAAATTCTCTTTTGTAATATATAAGTCATATTCACCAAGACAGACCACGTTCTGGGCCATAAAACACATCTTAACAAATTTACAAGAATAGAAATCATACAATGTACACTCTCAGACCACAATGAAATTAAACTAGAAATCAATAACAGAAAGACATCTGGAAAATACCCAAACACATGGAGACTAAACAACATTAAAGGAGAACTCTCAAGAGAGGTTAAAAAATATTTTGAACTAGATAAAAATGAAAATACAACTTATCAAAATTTGTGGGATGCAGTGAAAGCAGTACTTAGAGGGAAATTTGAAGAACTGAATGCCTATAATAGAAAAGAAAGATCTAAAATCAATAATCTAAGTTTCTCCCTTAGGAAACTAGAAAAAAAGAGCAAATTAAATCCACAGTGAGCAGAAGAAAAGAATTTGAGCAGAAATCAATGAACTTGAAAACAAAAAATTAATACAGAAAAATCAACGAAACCAAAAGCTCGTTCTTTGTAATATAAAAGTAAAATCCTCACATGATATCTAATAAAGATGTGGAGAGAATATATTCTAACTATTTCAATCATTTTTTTATTGATTTACTTGTTTTTAAATACTTAGAGGTTCTGAGACATACTGAAATTTAAAGTTACTATCATGAATCAAGCACTACAGTTTTCCATTGTATCATACGAGAAACAAGTTTGCTTCACAATTAATTCATACCAGGTCAAAACATCTGTATCTCATTTTCCAGCAAATAATCTCAAAGCACATATTTGCTGTTAAGTTTTTGTAATTTATGTAAGTGAGCTGGTGGAAGTCACTTAAAACACTTGGATTCATCAGACTACTGAGATGAGAGTCCAACGTTTAACAGCAATACATTCTTCCAAAGGTAGAGAAAGCCTATTTTTATTCCTTGGACTAATTCATTCTAAACTGAAAAATTATTCAGATACTGAAAAAGCAAGATGGCTTGTCTTTCTTTTCCACTGTATGAATAAATGAAGCGAAAGGTGAAATGAAGCCTGAATTAGTTGCATATCCAAATCTTTTATTTAAATTTTTGAAACTGCAATAATTTTCTAAATACCAACTTAAATATTTTTAAATTCCCCCCAAATGTAACTAGTAATGATCTCATCACCAATCACTCTAAGATATGTGCTGTTGAGGAATATTAGCATAAGGATTTGGTATTTCAGTTAGGTACAGGAACTCAGATGTCCACTCATTTGGGGATATTTATGACTTGGTTAATATGTGGTAAAAAGTAACTGCCAATATAACCCACATTTAAATTGGAGATCGTTTATCACCCAATGAGTTATACCTGCTTTTTACTGCTTTAGGAAATAACTATGCTATTTACATTTCTCCCAAACCTGCAAACCGTGGACATAAATTCTTCTTAAACACATAATAAAAATTCTAAAACTCCAAGGAGAAAACATAAACTTTTATAACTTTGAGTTAGCCAAAGATTTCTTACATATGAAACCAAAAGAATTATCTACAAAACACATTGTTAAGAGACTGAAATGACAAGCCATAGACTGGGGGAAAATATTTGCAAATCATACACCTGATAAAAGACTTATATCAGGAATATAAACAATAAACAAATAAATAAAAATAAACAGCCCCACAAAATGGGCAAAAGATGTGAAGAGACACCTCACCAAAGATGACATACAGATGGCGAATACGAGCATGAAAAGATGCTTAACATCAACATTTTTTTTTAAATAATTTTATTTATTTATTTATTTTTTCCCCCAGAGCCCCAGTAGATAGTTGTATGTCATAGCTGCACATCCTTCTAGTTGCTGTATGTGGGACACGGCCTCAGCATGGCTGGAGAAGCGGTGCGTCGGTGTGCGCCTGGGATCTGAACCCGGGCCGCCAGCAGCGGAGCGTGCGCACTTAACTGCTAAGCCACGGGGCCGGCCCACATCAACAGTTTTTAGAGAAATGCATGTCAAAACCACCATGAGATACCACTAAACACCTACTGAAGTGGTTACAACTAGAACGACTGACCATAACAAGTGTGGTGAGGATGGGGAGCAGCTGGAACTCACATACACTGCTAGTGGCAATATAAAAAAGTACAACCACTTTGGAAAACAGTTTGTGAGTTTTTTAACAAGTTAAACATGCACCTACCACATGATCCAGCCACTCCACTCCTAGGTCAAGAGAAATGAAAGCATGTGCCTATACAAAGACTTGTATATGAATGCTTTTAGCAGCTTTATTTGTAATAGCCCCAACCTGGAAATAATTCCAATGTCCATCAATGGAACACCACTCAGCAATAAAAAGAAATGAACTACTGATAATGCTACAACATGGATGAATCTCAAAATAACTATGCTGAAAGAAGACGCTCAAAAAAAGAGCACAGGGCCAGCCCCGCCCCGGCAGCCTGGTGGTTAAGTTTGGCACACTCCACTTTGGCAGCCTGGGTTCAGTTCCCAGGTGCAGATCTACACCCCAGTGGCCATGCTGTGGTGGCTGCTCATATATGAAAAGAGGAAGATTGATAACAGATGTTAGCTCTGGTAAATCTTCCTCAGCAAAAAAAAAAAAAAAAAAGAGTACATAGTGTATACTTCTATTTACACAGACTTCTAGAAAATGCAAACTAATCTACATTGACAGAAAGCAGATCAGGGGCTGCCTGGACATAGGAGGTGGGCAAAGGGGAGGGAGGCACGAGGAAACTGCTGCTAGGGAGGATGGATGTGTTCACTTTCTGAATGGCTTGTGATGGCTTCACAAGTGCATACGTACGTCAAAAGGTAACAAATTGTACACTTTTAAATATGTACACTTCATTGTATGTCAATTATATCGCAATAAATCTGTTAAATAATAAAATACATAGCAGGTCCTTCACAAAACACATTTTTAAATAACGTCAAAGTTTTAGAGGATATGCATTAGAATATGTCATATAATAAAAATAAATATAAAACTATTCATTAGTCCTTCTGAACAGTAGCTTAAAATCAATTTCACTATAATTAAAAATTAAATTCCTGGTTTTTAAGCACTCACGTACCAGGCAGTAGTATAATAACAAAACTTGTCTGATCAATTTTTATTCTTATCACATTTTTCAGCTGAAGACACTTGAATTTAACTTGCCTAAGCTTATAAGAACCTAAGTACTCACCCTTAATTTTACCATAATTTAGTCTTTACAAGTACTTTCTTATAGTTTTAGCCAGCATGTTCAGATATTTGAATTGAAATTCTTCTATCAAAAGTCATAACTGTGGTTGTCATAATAAATGTTTTGGATTTATAAAATACATACTACGAATTCAAAATGTGTTTACATTAAGTAACTCATCTTTAAGCTCCCAATATAAATACTATCAGAATGTACGTCTGTCCTAATTTTACCAAGGAGAGAAGGATGTAGAGCTGGAATTAGAAGGAACGTGTCCTCACTTTCAATTCAAGGCTCCGTTAACTCTGTCAATATAGGAAGGTCAAGTTCAATCCTTCCTGTGCCAAAATAGTACGAGTCCTGCACTGAGAAACTTGTTTCTTATTTAAAATATTTACTTATTAGCCACAGTCACAACTCTGAGCCTCATCTTTTTATTCACCTATAAAACTGGCGATAATACCATTTGTCCTTGATATTTCATAAGGCATTGTAAGGTTCAAATGAGCTGATCTTTCAAAAACTCTAAGAGCTAAACAGACACAAAGTATTATTAGTAAAACACACCTTTCACATAATTTGCGATGGCTTCTGTTGTGTCCCTCTCTGGGTCAATAGTGATGAAAAGTGGAGTTATATTTGGCAGAGTTGGAATACTATCTGAAAGAAAGAAAGAATACTATCTCATTAGTCAGTATTCAGACTCGAAGGGAAAAGACAAAGACAACCAGCAATTACAGTAGAGTGCAGTAAGTGCTACAGCAAGGTGTTAAGGAAACACAGAGGGACATCTAACATTCCAGTGGAGAGGAGAGGGAAGAGGATGGGATGGCCTCCAGGATGAGCAGATCTATATATTACCTGTGGTGGAATCAGATATATGTCCTACTGAACACCTGCACCAGCGCACACATGTTGTTTTCCAGATCACACCACATGTCTCCAAACCAATCCAATGTTTGTAGGTTTTCCCCCACCATATCTCAAGGGCAAGGTAAACTATTAAGAAGGACTGAATATCCTGGAAGAACCCATTTTAAGAAGGATGTAGCCTGCCTTCTCATTGGTACTAACACACGCCACTGACTGCATGCACATCATAGACCACACCACAGATTTCCCCGTCTAACCACCAATCACTGGGGAAAAGGCAATGGCAGTGTCAGTGACGGGAGGCCACAATAAAGGAAGGGACACCAACAGAGTTAAGGGATAACCCAGACCACACCAATGTTTTGAAGCAATCTAACATTCAGCATCAAAACAAGCTTCCTTTGGTGGAGAATAAAGTCATGGGCATCAAAGCAGCAAACAAGCCTAATGCTGAAATTTTACGTTCTCACAAACCAAATAATTACAACTCTCCACCTACCAGTAATATAAGGATGTGAAAAGCATAGTAACACTAAGGACATTAAACAAACACATACTTTTTATAGTCAAGTGATGGCTCTTACCTATTTCATCCACGACTTGAATCATTTTTTCTAGTTCTTCTGGACAGACATCAGGGCAATGAGTGAACCCAAAATAAATCAATACCCACTGACCCAGGTAGTCCTTATCAGTTTTGGGCTCTCCAGTATGAGTTATGAGGGAAAATGGGCCCCCAAGTAAAGGCTTTCCGAGGCTTCGCTGTCGTTCCTTCTTCAGCTCTTAAACAGACACACATACCAAAAAAAGAAAAATAAAAAAGGTCAATCTAACCACGACAGGTACTCAAATGCCTGACGTATGGTCTGTACTATACTAACGACTGTGAGGGCACAAAATGTGGACGAAGTAGTCTCAGTTTCCAAGAAGTTCAAAAAATCTTTTAAAAATAAGCATAAAACAACAGAACAATTCCAAATTAAATGGTATGGTATGTAGTAAGGACTATAAGAAAAGAAAGTGGTAAAGATATTTCTTCCTCTTCCAGAACAATTCAGTCCTAGGCCATCAGGTGTCACCATGATGGCGGTGGGGGAAGGGGCATAGCAGAGCAGAATGTCTGACGCCAAGTGGGCAGGTGAGTGGCCTGGCATTGGGAGTCTGGGCCTGAGAGTGCTGAGGAGGGCAGCTGCAGGGGAGGGGACAGCAGTGATGAGACCTTAGTTACACACAGGGGATTGATCAAATAAGTAAATATATTAAAGATAAAGAGAGTTAAAAATGGAAAAGGAGTTAGAATGATGGAAAGAGAGAAAACTAGAATAAACCTTGCAATGTTGGAAAGAAACTAGAGGTGCACTGTTTACTTATAGTGTTAATATATATAGATATACAAATAAATGCATACATCTCTTTCCTAGCTCTGTCCACTGAGAGGACCCAGGGACAGACACTCCCCAACAGCAAAGAGCTCACATCCTGACTTCTAAATATTATCCTCCAACTAAAAGGAAACAGGGCTTTTTAGAGAAATGGCTGATTTCAGGGTTGGGGCAAAGAAAGTACAAGATGAGCCTGGAACATCTTGTAGTGCCAGAATGAAGGCAGAACTCAAGGAATATCAGAGACGTGTCAAAAAGAAACAGCAGCCTGTTCAAAGAGGCTCCCATTGACCAACGTGGGACAATTTGAGCATCAAAATAAAGAGAACAAGGCATTATAATTCACTGAATATATAGCAAATCACGAGTCCATACTGATATAAATAAAAGAATAGAGAGTTTGATGTGGAACAAAATATTTACATATGTAAATATACATCAAAAACTAGATATTAACTACATTTTCGGTAGAGAAGCCTGACAGACACCACCTTAATCAAATGATCAAACTGAACATTATCAGTAATGGGACAAACTGAGATCACGTGGCACTGGAGTAGATGCAAGGAGAACACAGCAGCACTTTTGCAACATTCCTGCCAAAAGAACATGACCTGAATCGAGTCATGAGGAAACATCAGACAAACCCGAACAGAGGGACATTCTACAAAATAACTGGCCTATAATATTCAAAGTTGTCAAGGTCATGCAAGTCAGGTAAAGACTAGAAAACTGTTACAGATTGAAGGAGACTAGAAAGACAACTGGGTATGAGGTGCGGCTCTGAATTGGATCCTTTTGCTATAAAGGGCATCAAGTTGAAAAACTTGAATGAGGTGTGAAGATGAACGGTAGAAACATATCAATGTAATTTTCTTATTTTGATGGTTGTATTGTTATGTTGGAGAATATCCTTGTTTGTAAGAAATACACAATAATCTGGAGATGATGAGGCATCATGTCAGCAAATACTCTCAAATGATTTAGAAACACTTTTGTTTCGTAATACATTTTTCATAAGACAAAATGTTATTAATTGCAGGTGAAATTCCAGACTAAAGTCAAAAGAAGCTTGCATTTTCTAGAACTGTCTCCACCACTACTTTGCTAGCCTCCCAGTTTTACTTCATTGTGAAACTAAAGGAACTGCTTATTAGAATATGAAAATCATATCAATAAAACACTACTTGTTATACAAAAGAAATATGTCTAGGGCCGGCCCGGTGGCATAGTGGTTAAGTTTGTTTGCTCTGCTTTGGTGGCCCAGGTTCACAGGTTTGGACCCCGGGCACAGACCTAAGCACCACTCAACAAGCCATGCTTTGGTGGCATCCCATACACAAAATAGAGGAAGACTGGCAATAGATGTTAGCTCAGGGCTGATCTTCCTCACCAAAAAAAAAAGAAATATGTCCATATATCAATATGGATCTTATATTGCTCAAGTTCTAAAGCCCATGAATTCTCACTCCCAGATTTAAATATTATCTTTTGTATAATGGCATCAAAAGAGACTCTAAAGTAAAGAATCAAAACAGATTTAAGTGATACTTTAAAGACTTACTGGAAACTTCTAAACCAAATCTTAAAAGTCCTGGAATATTTGCTAAAATATTATAAAGTTTTTGTAAACAATTTCTAAACACTTCAAGTGCTAATCCAGAGCAGTTCCTGGCATTTCCCGACCAGGTTCTCGCTCTCCCTCTCCATCATCCATGGTCAGCCTCCAGCCTTTCCCTCTGCTGATAGTCAGTAGTTTGCAGTAAGGGTTGAGCCTGCCTTCGGCCCTCAGAGCACCCTGAACTTCTCTCCGGCTCGGCAGAAACTCATCTAGTGAAATCCTTGACTTCTGTGTCTGTTTCCCTGCCACGTGCACCTCAGTGACTGGACTAAATCTTAGTCATCTTTGTACTCTCTGGACTTCATACTACCCACGTTCTACTCTGCCCACAATAAGCCTTTTCATACTGTTAGACAGTGGTATCCTGGATTGTATCCTGGAACAGATAAAAGACAATGGAAAAACAGGTGAAATCCAAATAAAGTTTGCAGTTTACTGAACAGTATAGTAACAATTTTAATTTCTTAGTTTTGACAAATGAGCCATGGTTATATAAAATGTTAACATTAGAGGAAGCTAGGTGAAAGGTATACGGGAATTCTCTACGCCCTCTTTACAACTCTTCTGTAAATCTAAAATTATCTCAAGATAAAAACCTTAGAAACAAACATACAAAAAAAGACGGTAGTCCACAGCCAGGAATAATTTTATTCTAAGCTGATCAGATGATATCCACTTACTCTCTGTCTTTTCTTTCTTGAAGTACTTCATTCCAGCCAATAAAGCTCCTCCAATAGCAAATGTGACTGCTAAAGATTTCCAGGAAACAGGCTACTGGTGCAGAGATTTCAAAAATAAAAATTCTAGTAAGATGCAAACATTTAATCACACTAAATTTATTATAGTAGTTTTTAATATACACACACAGGCCTTGATCTTGGTAACTGTGCAGAATATTTCATGTCACTTTGGGATGAGAAAATACTGAAAGTTTCTGCGGATGCAGATGCATCTGGGCTCCTAACACAACTACAAAGGCACTTATTTCCAAGGGAGAGTTCCCTAAGTCAATTTCTTTTCAGGTGAAAAAATGACCCAAAGCTCAAGTTACTATGTGTTACTAGGGGTGACCCTGATACCAACTACTGATTTAAAAACCAGTTAATTACCTGCGTGTGCTGATATTGAGAATATAAATAAACCAAATAAAATTTGGGAGGTTAACCTAACTCTGGCTTCTGGAAGTAACAAAGCCAAAGTAGAAGAGATCTAAAAGGGGAGCTTCTTGCAAACTGTATCAAGTTATTTCTTTGTACTCTTTTTCACGTCCCAAGGTAAGACGTCGACTACCTAGGCCTAACTCATTAACCTTCCCCCAGCTCCAAAAACCACTTCTCTCACCTATCACTAGAAGGGAGTGGCTCTTCAGTTCTTTCTGGGTCAGAACTAGTACCCAAGAGAAACCGAAGAAAAACCTATACCCACCACGCAACTCCGACCCACCTTTTGCTCAATTTCAACGTACAAACCAAACCTCTCAAAGGAAATTCTCAGAAATTATAAAGATGCTGTGACTCCTCAGTCATGGTAAACTTTAGGTTTAGACCCCCTAAGAAAACCTGAAACTTAATTTTTTGGCGCAACAGCCAACTAAAATTCAAGCTGGGGTATCTATTTACGGCTGGGACGACCGGCAAACCAAGGGAGACAGGAAGAGATGCTGTGACCCAGGCAAGCCGGCGGAGTTGGGGACAATTTCCGGCCAGGCCGAGAAGTTTCTGAGGTTATGAGTAAGGGGCACGGGAAGGCCACGAGCAGTGGAAGGGCTCCAGGTGTGCACTCACCCCGGGTTGCGAGGGGCGCGTGGGGTCTCTGCGGCCCTCCGGCTCCGGCCCCGACGACCCCGGAGGCGGCGGCCTCGCCGTGCTGAAGGGCCGGCTTCCCAGGCAGCTGCCAGCGAGCCCCGAGGCCCGCCATGCCTCCCTTGGCCGCGCGCAGAGCTGCCTAAGCAAGCCCCCCGCGGTCCCCTCCGCCGGGGCCCAAACCCCGAATCCGCGGGGCCAGAGACGCCACACACGGCCGCCCGGAGGCTGTAGCATCCAGCCGCGCCCTACAAACAGGCCCGCCATGAGCTTAGGGAACCGCGCCTACTTTGACCCGCCCCCCGACTTCCGGCGCCGTTTCCGCTTCCTCCGGAAGTCGAAAGGAGCCGCTCTTGTCGCTCCACTCGATGGTGGCGCGGTTGCCTGGCCGGTAGTCAGGGAGTCCTTAACCGAGGAGCCGGCGCGCGGTAGGTGTTTCCCCGCTGTTGGAGGCGTGTCCGGCCTGGACTGGGTCGGGCGGGGCGGGGGGAGCTGCGCGGCCCGGCGGGCAGGAGTGGACAGCAGGGCCTGGGGGTGGGGCTGCCTCCGGGTCCGGGCTGCGCGGCCCGGCCGGTGGTCCTGAGCGCTGGGGGCGCCCCGCGCTGCTCGGAGGCTCGGGGCTAGGGCGCCCGAAGCCGGCTCCTCGCTCCTCCGGGCACCCCCAGCCTCGGGAAAGAGACAGCACCGCCCGGCGGGGCCGGGCAGCCTCCGTCCCCACCCTTGTCGCCCTCGTCCAGCCCAGTCTGGAGGCCGGTCAGCTGGAAGTGCAAGGTTGTTGATGCCTTTGCATCCCTAAGATAGAAGCGGATCCATTGCACTTGATACAGTCTTGGACTTTAAAAAAAATTGCTAGTAAGGATAATTTGAGTGATTAGGGTGGCTAGACAAGTATGACTGAAGTGCCTGGCGCTTCTAGTTGTTCCCAGGTTAGAATGTAATCTAATTATAAATAACGGTACGAAGTAGTATATGCGGTGTCACACCCCATCCCTTGTCTTCGTCTCCCTGGGCTCCAGTTTCTTAAAATGCTCCCGCTGACTCCACTGCCCCGTGGAATTTCGTGATGTCAAGTTTGTTGATGAGTTCCTCCTCTGGGACTGCTTATCTTGTTTGGATACAGCCGTACAGTATTTATGAGGCTAAGAGTATTTGTATTATTTTTCATGCCTTGTGAAAGTTAAACTCACATTCACTTGTCTTGCCTTTGTTTTTGTCTGCAATTTTAACCCTCCCCACCTCCGTGGTGGATTCGCAAAATACAGAAAAAGGAAATGATTGTGATTGTGAGAACAGAGCGTGGTATTTTCTGTGAGCCGGCATCATTAGCCAAGCTGCTGCTCTCTAAGGCAGGAAAGTTGTAGTCTAGTATGACCCACGTTTCTTTTTTTTTTTTTTGGTGAGGGAGATCAGCCCTGAGCTAACATCCGTGCTAATCCTCCTCTTTTTGCTGAGGAAGACCTGCCCTGAGCTAACATCTATTGCCAATCCTCCTCCTTTTTTTCTTCCCCAAAGCCCCAGTAGATAGTTGTATGTCATAGTTGTATATCTTTCTAGTTGCTGTATGTGGGACGCGGCCTCAGCATGGCCGGAGAAGCGGTGCATCCGTGCGCGCCCGGGACCCGAACCCGGGCCGCCAGTAGCGGAGCGCGCACACCCAACTGCTAAGCCACGGGGCTGGCCCCCCATGTTTCTTGATTGGAAGTTGAGCTGGAGTTTTCTGGAGTATTTGCTCAAAGTAAATGTTTGCTCAGCACATCAGATTGTTCTTAATCAAACTGTTGTTTCCGTTGTAAGTTGCCTGTGGCTAAGATTTCTTTAGTCTCTTATTTCTGTGTATTTGCCCACAGCACTTCAAATCGTTCTTATCCAAACTAATGTTTCTGTCTTAAGTTGCCTGTCGGTAAGATTTTTTTACTCTCTTATTTCTCTGTATTTGTTTGCCCAGGGAGAAGTTATTCCTCAAATTGACAAAAAGGCACCAAAGTACTTTGCTTATTCAGGCAATGAGCATATAAAATTATTGTTCATCTCTTTGCTCAATTGTGGGTTAACTGATCAAACACACGTCATACAAATTAAAATCGAACTTAGTGTTGTTTTCAGGTGTTCTGTTAAATTTTATTTGCCAAAGTAATTCTTTTAATAGCTTCACCCTTATTTATTTGTTTACCAAAGCATTTATACAACTTTTTCATTAAATTTATAATACTAAATAAAATACTAGCTTCTAAAACAGTTCCTGACTCAAAGTAGGGGTTTTATAACTATACGTTGGATGAATTGCTAATAACACCTCTGAGCCTGATTTCATGGACCCAAGAAACTTGAGTGTTAAATGATACCTGAAACATTATCTAGTGTAAACGTTATCACTTTTATTACTACTAGTAAACCACCAAGATCACAAAATGTGGTTTTTTTTTCTTTTGCTTTAGATACTTTTCTTGAAAGAGACAGGACATAGATAATATCTAATATTTGTTCTCTCATAGGTAATATCTAATATTTGTTCTCTCAGTAGTGACAAAGCTGATCACATTTTGTGCTTGCCATAACTTGAGGCTGTTTTGACTAGGACAGCTAGGCCTAACTTTGTGTGACCTCTCCGGCACTGCTTGTTTGCTTCATATCAAGTCTAGACTCCCTCCCCATGTGCCGAGTCACAAACATGTCCTGCCTCACCTCTCCTGTTAGTGCAGTATTTAGCAGAGTTAAGTTTCAGGGTCCCCTTCATCTTTCCACAGCCACCTATCCCATGGGCTCTGCATATAAAAACTTTGCTCACCCACCGCTTCCCCAAGACACTCCTGGCGGAGGCTTTGAGCACCTCTCTGTTGCAGTAGTTCCCCTTATACGGTCTCCCCTTACTAATGTCCGGACTTGTCACTCCTCCCACCCCCTTTTTTTTGCCTTTGACAATAGTGTGAAAGGAGCTTCAGCCTTCTGCCAGTCTTAATTATTACAGAAGTTTTATTAGTATCACCTTGTAGCAAGTTTTCAGCAAGTAAGCATCCCTGGATATTTCTTCCTATTCTTAAAAATCATTGATGAAAGGTGGTTTTCACAAAATGCTGGCTGCTTATCCTGCACCATGACTTTTTGTAGGAATTTTGGGAGAAAATCTTGTAAAGTTTTCTACATTATTCTGTTCTATAAAAAATTGCAGTAGTTTTAGTTATCTTGAGCTTCACTAGGCAGATGTAGTTTCAGATATACAATTAAAAACTAATTTTCTTAACATGCATATAGTGCTTTATGATTTATAAAGTAGATTACTGTGCATTATAACTTAGCTGAATCTCACAGCAGCTGGTGAGGGTTATTTTGCTCTAGGAAAAACTGGGACTACAATTCAGTTTCAGGTCTTCAATTTCAAAGCTTTCAGGAGTTCATCATGATACCTCTTAACTAAAACTTAGATAACTTAGTATATCATAAATGGTGCAGGCAAAACTTTCGGAACACAGTTTACTAAAAACTTGCTATTTTCCTTTCTTTTCAAAAGCAGATTATTTCCTTAGGTCTTCTAATTCTTCCAGACTTTTATTTTCTCTAAACTTTAGAATGCTTTTTTAAAACTTTATATTATAGACATTTAAAAACATGCATAAAAGTAGAGAGAATAAACCTCAGGTACCCATTACTAGCTTCAGCAATTATCCTCTACTCATCTACTTTTTTGTGTGTATTTGGTGGAGGATGGGGACTATTTCAAAAAAGTTCTATGGCATTGAAATGTTTATTAATTCTAAGTCTCCCCAGTGGAGGTGTCTTTGGGTGTTTCTTCTCTCTGTCCACCAGGACCAACCTCTCTGAGCTCCCTGGCATCTCCCTGAACCATACAATAAGAGACTCGGAACTAGTCAGGAGAGTCAATCCCCTGTCCACTTGGTTAATTTTGCCCTGCCTTGCTCACTTCTGATCCTGTCTTTCCTTGAATGTGGCCTTGTCCTCCTCTCTTGCCTGTTATCTTTCCCTTAACAGATCACAGTATGAATTAAATTTGTTTTTCAAAATAATTTCTTTATTTAATAAAATTGTATGTTCCCTATCCTTACCTTATTTTTAAAAGCTGTGTGTATTCAGCATTTTGGATGTCTTTTCTACCACAGAACACATTACTGTTTTCTTAGTATACCCTTGAGCTTTCCTAAACTGAACTGTGTTCCAGTGGACGGTGTATCTGACAGGACTTTTCATATTACATGACAGAAATCTTTTTTTTTTTTAATTGATGTTTTAATGGTTTCTAACATTGTGAAATTTTGGGTTGTACATTTTTGTTTGTCCATCACCATATATATGACTCCCTTCACCCCTTGTGCCCACCCCCCACCCCCACTGCCCCTGGTAACCACAGTCCAGTTTTCTCTGTCCATGTGTTGGTTTATATTCCACATATGAGTGAGATCATACGGTGTCTGCCTTTCTCTTTCTGGCTTATTTCACTTAACATAATACGCTCCAGGCCCATCCATGTTGTTGCAAATGGGACGATTTTCTTTTTTTATGGCTGAGTAGTATTCCTTTGTATATATATACCACATTTTCTTAATCCAATCGTCAGTCGAGGGACACTTAGGTTGCTTCCACTTCTTGGCTATGGTGAATAATGCTGCAATGAACATAGGGGTGCATAAGCCTCTTTGGATTGTTGATTTCAGATGCGTTGGATAGATTCCCAGTAGTGGATGGCTGGATCATAGGGCATCTCTATTTTTAATTCTTTGAGGAATCTCCATACTGTTTTCCATAGAGGCTGCACCAATTTGCATTCCCACCAGCTGTGTATGAGGGTTCCTGTTTCTCCACATCCTCCCCAACATTTGTTGTTTTTTGTCTTGGTGATTATAGCCATTCTAACAGGCGTGAGGTGGTATCTTAGTGTTGTTTTGATTTGCATTTCCTTGATGATTAGTGATGTTGAGCATCTTTTCATGTGCCTATTGGCCATCTGTATATCTTCCTTGGAGAAGTGTCTGTTCATTTCCTCTGCCCATTTTTTGATCGGGTTGTTTGTTTTTTTGTTGTTCAGTTGTGTGAGTTCTTTATATATTATGGAGATCAACCCCTTGTCAGATGTATGTTTTGCAAATATTCTCTCCCAGCTGGTTGGTTGTCTGTTCATCTTGATTCTGGTTTCATTTGTCTTATAAAAGCTCTTTAATCTGATAAAGTCCCACTTGTTTATTTTTTCTTTAGTTTCCCTAGTCTGGGTAGACATGTCATCCAAAAAGATTCCTTTAAAACCAATGTCAAATAGTGTGTTGCCTATATTTTCTTCTATGAGTTTTATAGTTTCAGGTCTCACCTTCAGGTCTTTGATCCATTTTGAGTTAATTTTTGTGAATGGCGATAGCACATGGTCCACTTTCATTCTTTTGCATGTGGCTGTCCAGTTTTCCCAACACCATTTATTGAAGAGACTTTCCTTTCTCCATTGCATGTTCTTAGCACCTTTGTCAAAAATTAGCTACATGACAGAAATCTTAAAGCCAATTCAATTTGGCTTTACTCAAAGGATTTGTTGGCTGGTATACCTAAATGACCAAGAGAAGTCCTAGAAGGGACAGGTGGATCCAGGTGGTCAACTGATGTTTCCAGACTTGACTTCTTTCCATCTTTCAGATTTGCTTCCTTCTAGATTGGGTTTCTTTTCAGTTAACTTTTCCCCAGCAACTCCAGTCTCAGGTCTCAGCTTAGCAGAAGTAGTTCCAGTAGTTTTGCTGGTAGTTCCAGCAAAAAGCCCAGGGCTGATGCTTATTGACTCAGCTTATTTATATGCCTACCCCTAACTGACCAGAGGGAAACTAGGCTTTTATAGGCCAGGTCTGGGTCGTGTGTCTACCCCTCCCCTTCCTCAGCCAGGGGGTAGAGGTCAAACTGAAAATGAGGCATTGGGTAGATGGCTAAAGAGACTTTGGGGTGCTGTTACCAGAACAGGAAACGAATGCTGGGTAGACAAAAATAACAGCTGTCTGCTGGAGAAGATCAAATGTATTGGGACTAAATGCCCTCCAGGAGATCCGCAGTACATATTATCACCCCAATGTCTCTGAGTTTAAAGATAAAAACAAACAAGCTTGTTTGGCCGGAGATAAAAGCATTCCCAGAAAGTTTTCTCTTAAGCTTTGGTAATAACGTTCCAGTGATACATTTGCTAAATTATCTTCTGGTTTGATTAATCTGTGCTTGAATTGCAAATATTGAAACCTAATAAGACTAGAGGTTTTCAGCTGACTTAGATGAGTTTTGTATTTATTGTAATTATATCTGAGTTCACCTTTCAAATCAGATATGTCATCTGTTCCAACCCCCATACATATTAACTGACTTGGTATCTGGTGGGGTCTGCAGGACCAAATGAGCAAATGAAAAAAAAAATAGTGTAAGAACAAGCCATTTTTCAGGATTTCCATCTCTTTTTCTGGTGCTGTTTTACCTTTTTTTGAGCCAATTATACCCAGCTGGATTAAGGAAGAAAGGAAAGTAGCTGAAGCTCGTACTGGGTGGATCAGATAGAAAGTGTGCTATTAGTGACAGCAGTTTTAGAATGAACAGAGGCCCCTAATTCTCAAATAAATCAAATTGAAGTCTGGCCCTTATTGCCAGTTGTGGAGTTGCTGCCACCCCCTCTGATAGGAACACTCTGACAGGATTTCACGTCTGTAGAGGATTAAAAAGAACTCAGTGGGTACTTGGGGCAAATGACTGGAGACCAAGAGTCTGAAAGTAATTTTAGAAATTCCAAATGAATTTTTAGGAACAAGTAGGTTTTAATAAACGTAGACACCACAGCCCAATTTACTCCTGTAGCCTTTATAACAAGAATAGTTGATAATTTAGGATCTTGGCCTTTGATTTTTATTTTAATCCTTAGAGTTCTTGGCTGTTTTAAGAGATTATAAATTTAGATTATAAACAATCTAATAAAATAATAGCTTTTTCAAGTCTAAATTTCTTGCACTTCTTGGCCACTGAGGCAGGGCAGAAATCGTGTAAGAAAAAAAGATTACATATTTCCTGTTTTGACTGTAGGGAAGGGGAATTAATATTTAGGTTTTAAAAACCTGGTTCAAATTAGAATTCAACTATTGAAGAGCCAGGAACCACTACTCACAGAAATGAAAATAGTCACATCAATGTCACAGTTTTTGTGCCAGATTTTTTTGTTTGTTTAAAATTAATTCTCTCATAGCTTTATTACCTCTCTCTGTTAGTCTATGATACAAAATATGAGGAACTTATTTCAGGTGACTACCACCAAAGAGAAAAGACATGAAATACCCATAGCAGGCATCTAACGTAAAAAGTAGAATGAATAAGTGTAATATACAACTTCCCTCCCAAAAAAATCCTGAACTTTTGATAGAATTATTTTGGTGTTTGTGGATTAAGGTGTGTGTGTGTGCATGTGTGTTTAAAACTAGTGTATCTTTCTTAAAAATTGCAAATTATACCTGATTTGAATTTGACTTGACTAGAATTAAAATGCCTATTCATTAATAGGATAATACCCCTTTATAAATGGGTACTCTTCTAAAGAATAGAGGTTATCCTCCATTTTACAGATGGGAATACTGAAGCATTTTGAGGACTTGGTACCTTGGACATAAGGCCATCAGACTAAAGCCCATGCACTTTTGTCTATACCAAGCTACCTAGTGGATTAACTGTTAAGTTTAACATTCATTTTACCTTTTCCTTCAGTCTATTTAGAAAGTTAGGATGTTTATAACTTAGTTATCCTTTTTCCTTTATTTAGTTTATTTAGAAACCTGTTTGGAGGTTATGGATGATCAGCCCAATCCTGGAACCCTAAGTGAGAGTTCAGAACTTCTCTTCTCCTTTGGAGTTATCACAGATATTCAATATGCTGACTTAGAAGACGGCTATAATTTCAGTGGAAGCAGACGGAGGTACTACAGACACAGTCTTCTTCACCTACAGGGTGCTATTGAACACTGGAATAAAGAAAGCAGCCCACCCTGTTGTGTACTTCAGCTTGGAGATATCATCGATGGATATAATGCGCAATGTAAAGCATCAGAAAAGTCTCTAGAAGTTGTTATGAACACATTCCAAAGGCTTAAAGTCCCAGTTCATCATACATGGGGAAATCATGAATTCTATAACTTCAGCAGAGACTATTTAACAAGCTCTAAACTTAACACCAAGTTTCTAGAAGACCAAATTGTACATCATCCTGAGACTATGCCTTCAGAGGATTACTATGCTTACCATTTTGTGCCATTCCCTAAATTCCGGTTCATTTTACTCGATGCTTATGACTTGAGTGTCTTGGGCGTGGATCAGTCTTCTCCAAAATACCAGCAGTGTCTGAAGATACTGAGGGAGCACAATCCAAACACGGAATTGAATAGTCCTCAAGGTGAATTATTCCTTTGAACTGAGAGTCTAATACATTGTCTTTAAATTCTTCAGCTACCTTTTATTCAGCAGGAAGATGGATGATTAAGGTAAAAGTATATTGTCGCTGTTGTTCAGGGTCAGGATTTCTCACAGGCCTCATGGCACATGGATTGTTTGCAGTTGGTTTAAGATTCGTTTATTTAACAGCTCTCTGAATGCCTGTTCTGGGCTGGGCACTTTTTTTTAGGGCTAGTTATTCAGAACTGTAAGCAATACTGACATTATCAGTTGTTTTATGGATGGAGTGGAGGGAACAAGAGAAGTAGCTGGGCAGACAGAAAATAAATGAAACACAAACAAGACTATTTCCACAGCAATAAATGCCGCCAAAAAAATAAGATATAATATTATAGAAAAGGACTAGGGGTACTGTTTTAGTTTAGGTGGTCAGAGATAGCCTCTCCAAGGAGAAAAACGTCGAAGCTGAACCTGAATGACAGGAAGGAGTCATTCTTGGGAAGGGCAAGGTGGGGCAGAGTGTTCAAGAGAGAGAGAAAAATGCAGAGGCGCCGAGCAGAGGACCTGACGGTACTGAAGAATGCAGGAAAGGGCCAGTAGGGTGCAAGATGATTTTATTGTGGCTCAGCGGACATAGTAAGGAGTCTCTGTTTTATCTTGAATGTAATGGGAAGCTAGTGAAGTAAGCAGAGGCGTGGCAAGACGAGGAGTGAGATACAGTGTGGTTTATTTGTATGTTGCTCTGAAAGCTTGTGGTTTCCCGTTTTACGTTAATTGCTGCCAAATATTCCTAAAGAAGAGTACAGGTGTCCCCATATTAGCTAAGTTCAAATGCCCAAATGAGGAAAAAAATGACATTTGATGGGTCTGACTGATCATTTCAGGACTTTCTGAGCCCCAGTTTGTCCAGTTTAATGGAGGATTCAGCCAAGAACAGCTGAACTGGTTGAATGAAGTTCTTACATTCTCTGACACAAACCAAGAAAAAGTGGTGATTGTGAGTAAGTATTTAAATTATTTGATTACACTAGCATTTTAGAGAATAGGAAAAGTTAGGTTTTAAAGCATGCTAACAATATTTGTATTACGATATCCTCTTTCTATAAAGTGAATGCTTAGTTTAAAATTTTTTATTGAGAAACAATCTGAATATAAGATTAACATTTAAGGTTGAGTCAGGAAAGAATTGTAAAATAACAAAAAAATCTTGCCATATTTGTGAGTTGGCCTTTTGGGTTTCAAAGTAGAATTTCCCCAAATGGGATCAATTTGTATAGTAATATTTAAGTGAAAAATTTAGTCCAGGCCTCATACCAAATCTCAGCCTCAGGAGACCTACCCATCAGTGCAGTGGCCACCGAACAAGGCCTCTGCTGCCCGGGTGAGAGCAAAGCTGATCAACAGGGGACAGGGTTAGAGACCCAGCTGGTAGTGAGCACTTCAGTTCTGTAACTGTGTTTACCATGCAATTGCAAGGAAATACTTTTTTACAGAAGTCCTGCCATCAGAGCGTATAGGAATCTGGAGGTGCTTAAAGTACTCTCAGATGTAGATGTGCGCACGTGTGTGCTCGCACACACACACAAAGAACTGACTTTGGATTTGCAGTATGGCTGGTGTACTTGGTTTGGGGGCTGGGATTAGATCCCTTGGTTAAAATGAATGTGGCACAATGGATGAGAAGACTGGGCTTAGGATCACAAGAATGGGATGGCACTCTGGCTCTTGTTTCTATGAGCTGTGTGACTCTGGACAAATGTTGAACCTACAAACTGTCGTTTTCTCAATATTGTATCAATGAAATTTTGAACATGAAAACCCTTTGAAAATGACAGGCTATTCAGATGGTTGATAATATAAAAATTATATTTCTATAAAAGTAGTTTTTACTTATTAATCTTTCACTGATGTAAAAACATGTAGAGGGAGTAGGGGTGTTTTTGCTACCATTGGAATATTAAATGTCATTCAAGGCTTAGAAAATATAAGGTGCCCTCGGATTATTGGCATGATGTGACACTGTCTGGCTCTACAATAAGTGGTCTCAGAAACTGGGATACTTGCTGACTTGTCTCTGCTTTTTAGTTTTCCACTGCCAGGCTGTACCTGTTACTTGAGAGAATACTGGAGGTAAAAGGGACCTGGAGATTATATAGCCAGACCATTTAATTTTAAACATAAGGAAGCTGAACCAAACGAGATTCAACTACATAGCTTAAATCATATAGCTACTGACAGGACAGAGACCAGAGGCCACGTTTTATACCCCAGGCTCCTTTCCCATGTTGTCCTTTATTCTTCCCGTTTCTCTTTACTTACGTCAGTGCGCGTATCTGCATGAGCAGTCTCAAAGGTCTTCCACTTTGCTGTAAGCTTAGAAACTGGGTGAACAAACCTTTAATGACTTAGTGCCTTAGGTTTTCTTTAGCAAAGTTTAAAATGACTAATAAGTTTTCTTTTGTTTTTGTTTGCTTTTTCAGTTTTATTTTGGCTACTCAGAGGTCATTTTGCCTGCTTCTTGAGTTTGGCCTGCAGTTGGAAGGATAGAATTGCTATTAGCAGAGATATGGAACACTGCAGTAGGAGGGGGTTTTGGGTGGAGAGTTCAGGAGTTCAAGTTTGAAAATATTAAGTTTCAGGTGCCTGTTAGATATCAGATGCCTATTAGACATCAGCGGAGATGTTGATAAGCAGTTTGGATATGTGAGTCTGAAATTCAGAATAGAAGTTTGGGCTAGATATATAAATGTGGAAGTTGAAAGAATATAGGTGACATTTAAACTGTAAATTACTAAGAGATCACCAAGCCATTAGTTGTAGATGAGTGAAGCCCAAGGACCAAGCATTCAGGCAGTCCTAATAAGACAATGGGGAAATGAGGAGCCAGCGAAGGAGAGTGACAGTGGCCACTGAGGTTGGAGGAAAACTAGGATGACTAGTGGTGTCCTGGCAGCCAAGTATTTCAAGGAGAAGGGAGCGACTAATTGTGTCAGATGCCACAGGGCCTTGACAGGTGAGTCCATGGTGGCATCTGGATCTGGAAAGGCACACAGCCTCTTTGGACTCTTAGCCTTTATCACAGCTTGAAGGGTGGTCATCAGTGTGTGCGTGCGCACGTGTGCACACACGCACCCATAAGCTCTTCTGACTCTTTTCCTGCTTTAGGGGTCGTTAATCCCCCCCTTTTAATTTGTATTGCAAACTAATAGATATTAAGCAGAATAAAAATATTCAGAATAAAAATAAAAATGAACACTAACAGAGAGAAAAAAGGAAAGTGATTTAATAGGAAAAAGCAAAGACCAGTGAACTGTTGTTCCTCTACTTCACTGTGAAACTGGCCTGATACATGATGTGGCTTCATATATGTCTTGGCATCAGGAGTTCGAAATTCTCCTGGCTCTACATCCACATATCTCCTGTGGGTCCTAGTATGACTATTCCCTGCTTTAACTCAATTTTCTAATCTATAAGATGGCTATGGTTGCCTTGATCTCATGGAGGCGTTTAAATGGCATGAATCAGTTGTACAGCATTGAGTGTTTATATAAATGACATAGAATCCATGGCCCATCCCTAGACTGTTCTTCTATTTAGGAGTACATCTTTCTGAGTATATAGCACTCATAAAAGGAAATCGAAGAGACTGGGTTCCACACAGCATCTGCTCGATTCCTGGCTGCCTTTGCAGACCGCCCTGCACAGATGCCCCCGGTCTCCCTCTGTTTGCACATCTTAAAACTCCGTAGGCAGTAGGGACCTTAGGGTTTCTGCCTCTGCAGTGGCCTCTCTCCCTTTATATGTGAACTGTCTCAACTTCTTTATGCTCCAGAGATGTGGCTATAGATTACCTAGTTCTTCATGAATGTGGATTCTCTCTGATCTCAGTCCATAATGAGGTAGTAATACACTTTTTTTTTTCTGAGTGCTAGTTTTTAGCCATTTATTTTGGTGAAAGAGATATTTTTTAATTGATTCATAACTCTTCTTCTCTTTAACTAACAGGCCATCTTCCCATTTACCCTGAGGCCTCTGACCGTGTGTGCCTGGCCTGGAATTACAGAGATGCCCTGGGGATCATTTGGTCTCACCAGTGTGTGGTGTGTTTCTTCGCTGGTCACACTCACGATGGTGGCTACTCTAAGGATCCTTTTGGTGTGCACCACGTCAACCTGGAAGGGGTTATTGAAACAGCTCCGGACAGCCAGGCTTTTGGCACAGTTCACGTCTATCCTGACAAAATGATGTTGAAAGGGAGAGGCAGAGTTCCAGACAGAATTATAAATTACGAGAAGGAAAGAACTTTCCATTTGTAGTTTGATTTTGTTTACCTTTATAGACAGAGAGTGACTTAGCTTTGTGTTTTTGTTCCCCTCCTGGCCCCCAAATCCTCAGTCTCATTGTTTAGTAGTTATTTGCATAACAAAATGTGCGTATGGCTTCAGTGTGTGGTAGCTCCTCAGATATTCTGAAATGGCATTTTTGGATAATATATCCAGTGCTGAAAATTAGAAACAAAATGAATGAAAGTGGCATGAATAAACCAGGGAGGAGACTGGTGGGGGGGGCATATAGTCCTCAAAATGGACTTTATTGTTTAGCCTTACCTGAAATTCCTTTACTTTTACAAGGAGAATGTATTTATGTATTAACTATGTAACTTAAAATTCATAATAAAAAAGAAAGAAAATAAGCTCAGGTAAACTTTTTCCAATTATTCTTCTATGTGAATGAGCTTTGGACATTTTTTGCTCAGAATACTCATCATATTTGTACTTTTATAGGCTTGTATTCCTCTTTTGTAAGCAAAAAATACCAACAGTTATTTCACAGGTGAATGAATGGCGCTCCCATTCCCATAGGTGAATGTATGGTCTCCCACATGAGGCTGTAAGAAGAGATTAGAACCCTTTGTCCACCCATCAGCTGGGCCTGCGCAGATGTCCAGTAAGTGACCTTTTGACGTCAAGACGCTAAAAACTCCACCCTCGGGTCATGCTAACACTGCCATTTTGTGAACATGCATCTTATGAAGAGGCATGAAGTCTGACTACGCTTGCGCAGATCATCAGTTACCTCACCTCTCCTCACCTCCAATCATCTATCTCCACGTTTCAGACCACCTTGCTCCCTACCCCATAAATATCCCTGAGTCCCTATTTTTGAGGAAGTGGATTTGAGACTTGTTCTCCCATTTCCTCACTTGGCTGCCTTGTGAATAAAAAACCCTCTCTCTGCTGCAATCTCGCCATCTCGGTGTTTGGCTTTCTGGGCAGCAGGCAAAACGGACCTGGTTTGGTAACACGTTCAGCCTTCCACAGAGGTGACCGTTAATGTGCTCCCTGCGTTCACTGACCTTACCATGAGTGAGAGAGACAGATCCATAGGTACAAGTATTTCAGAAGGACTGTGGGAATGTGGGGGAGCAATTTAATTTTGTTTGATGGGATTAGGGATGACTTGAAGAAGAAGAAAAATGGTTTAAGGAAGAGCATTTCAAGCAGACAGGATAGCATAAGCAGAGGCACTGCAGGCTATGCTGGGTTTGGGAGTGGCAAGTAATGGCTATGAGGATTCACTAAAAGGTGCTTGGGGGTATGGCAAGAAATAAAGCAGGAAGAGGATAGGCTAGGGCAAGGTGGTGGAGAGCCTTAAATGATGAGCCCGGAGTTAGAATTTAACTTGTCAGACAGTGAGGAATCCTCAGGTTTCTGAGCTGGGGAATATATGATTAGATTCATGTTTCATTCCAGGCAGTGGATAATGAGAGGCTGATGTAGAAGAGTGACAATGGGAAAAAAGATTAAGGGGGCAGGAAGGCAGAAATTTTGATAATAGTCCCTAATAGGGAGAGGGAGATATGATGAAAATATATCTTGAACATTACTGTCTTTTTAAAAAATTGGGACATTATTGTCTTTTAAGCATAGAATTAAGCATTACTTGGAGGATGGGTAGGTCTATATAGAATTTGCAAATAAGTCCATTTATTCTTGTGTGACTTTAATAGTTATACTAAAAGAGGTATAAAGCCATAAATATGTAAGCTAAATGTACCTGGAACACTCAAATCCTTTCCTTGCATTTTATTGGCCCTTAAATTAAATTTCACTTTATTTGCTTTAATATCGACTAGATTTTTTTTCCTTTTCCTTCATCCACATCTTGATAGAGAATTTGTCCAGTGGCAGTTGTATGCAACAAACGAAAAACATGCATCCTTCCTTTAACAAATATTTATAGAATACTTAATATCATATTAAAGGCTATAAAAATAAAGAGACAAACTACTAGCTTTTCACTCTCCTGACATATGGTAGGTACTAATTGTTTTCCAATGAAATGTTTCCTAAATCTCATGAAACAGTGGCTTAATTATGGAGTTTGATGCTAGCATCTGTAAAAAAGCTGCCATCCAGATGCTCAAAACAGCACTGACCAACAGAAATATAATGTGAGCTACGTAAGCAATTTAAAATACCCTACAAGTCACATTTAAAAAAGTAGAGACATAAAATTAATTTTAATATATTTTATTTAACCTAATATCTGTAAAAAATTATTTCAACATGTAATCAATATAAAAATATTTTTTTACATTCTTTCTTTTTATGCTATGTCCTCAAAATCTAGTGTGTATTTTATACTCATAGCCCATTCATTTGGACACTAACTTTTCATTGGAAATACTTGATCTGTATTTAGATACAATAAAATTTGCAGTTGAAGAAGATTCACATACCCAAGCTGTTACAAAAACACACTTAAGTGTTCTAAACACACAAGTTTCTAATAAGGTTCTAAGGTTTATCAGTTTTTAAATTAAAAATGAAAAAACTACTTCGTCTGTCAGTCTAGCCGCATTTCAAGTGCTCAGTGCACCATGTGGCTAGTGGCTAGAGCTAGAGCTAGAGCTCAGAGAGTACAGCTCTAAAATAGTTTTCTCCTCAAGGTTACTTTTGCTATTCATTTTAAAAAATGTATAGATTTTGGTCTTATTTTTCATTTACAATATAATTAATATTCCCTATTATTTTTGGTCCCAAATTCCTTTATTCTATCCATCTTTTCTTTCCAAGACATGCTTGCTCCTTTGGTTCATCTGGAGTCCTCAGTTCCTGGCTCTGTACCAGCTCCATATAATGAGATTAGTTCAGGGGTTCAGCCCGCTCTTGAACCTCTGTTTCTAACGTGTTACCCAGACCCTGCTTCCCTCTATTTTAATCACGTGCAGCCCTTTGTAAGCACATTATATTTTCGGAGTGCTCTCATATTATCTAGTTTAATCCTTGCAACAGTATAAGTAGGAGATCTGGTATTAATTCTATTTTATGGATAAATAAATATCCACCAGGAGATTTATATATTTGCCCAAGTCACGTAGATAGCAATATGCTGATTTGGAATTCCTATTTCTTAACTTTTGTTCTTTTCTACTACACTCTGACACAAGAGAATGTCAGACCTGTCTCTTACTAGTCTCGTCCAATCCTACGTTGTATTGTAGGCAGCCTTAAAAAGTTCTTAGGATTAAAAAAAAAAAATGTCTAGTATTAGCTCAAATTACCTGAAATTAACTCCTAGGAAACTGGCTTGTTACAACCATGTTTATAAAAAATGGAAATTCTCATTTTAAGAACAGGATTCTTGACTTCATTTAAATTACTGTCTTGCAGTGAGTTGGCCAGGAGGATCGCATCTCCTTGTGTACATATATGTAGATCCAGGAGATAAGTGGGAAAAGAGCAATCACAACAGCAATAGCCAACTGAACTCGTCCACCAACTGGATTCCTACAAAGACACGCAAAAATTATTATAAATAAAAATCCAGTAAAAATTATGCCTTGCTTTGGAAACAAGTACAATGATTGAATTTGGTAAAACACATTATTATATTTTTGTATTTTTTTCCTTAATTTTTTTAATTGAAATAGAACTCACTGATTTGTAGGAGTTCTTTATATATTTTAAATGCAAATCCTTGTTTATACGTGTTGCACATAGCTTCTCCCAGTCACTTAATGATGTCTTTTGAGGAACTGCAGTCACTGATTGATTAAGTAGTGTTAAAATTGATCTTTTCCTATTGATTTTTGTGTTCTGTTCAAGAAAACTTTCCCTCCCCAAGGTCTTGATGATATTTTCTTCTCTAAAAGTTTTATCATTTTGCTTTTCACATTAGATGTATAATCCACCTGGAATTGGTTTTTATGAAAGCTGTGAGTAAGGGTTGTTTCACTTTTTTCCACATGGATATTCAGTTGATCCAGCATTATTTATTGAAAAGTGCCTTTCTTTGTTACTTTGCAGTGCCACCTCTGTCGTGAGTCAGGGGTCTACATATGTATGGATCTCTTTCTACCTTCTACTCTGTTTCATTAGTTCATCTTTTGGCCAGCATTGGTTTCTCTCTCCAATTATTCAGATTGTCTTTAATTTCTCCCATAGTGTTTTACAGTTTTTGTGTATAGAGATTTTGCATATCTCTGCTAGATTTATACCTAGAGATTTGGTTTTTTGATGTTATTATAAATGGTAAGTTTTTGTTTTTATCATTTTCTGTTACTTGCTGATAAAAATGCAGTTGATTTTAGTATATTGACCTAGTATCCAGCAATCATGCTAAACTCACTTATTCTAATAACTTTTTAGATTCTTTTTGATTTTCTACATATGCAATCATGTCGCCCATGAAACATTAAAATTTAATTTTTCCTTTCCAATCCTTTGGCCTTTTCTTTTTCTTGCCTTATTGTACTGGCTAGGACTATAGCTAGAACAACGTTGAGTACAAGTGGCAGTAGTGGCTAACCTCATCTCATTCCTGATCTCAGAGAAAAAGTTTTCAACCATTCACCATAAGGATCATGCTTTGGTGTAGGTGTAGATACCCTGTATCATCTTCTACATCTATATCTATTTTCTAAGAGCTTCTATCATGAATGGATGTTGAATTTTATCAAATGCTCTTTTGTATAGATTGAGTAGTTTATTTTCTTCTTTTATTCTGTTAATGTGTTGGAAAACATTGGTTGGTTTTTGAGTGTTAAACTAACTATTCCTAGAATAAACCCAACTTGGCAGTTAGGTAATATATTGTAGGATTTGATTTGCTAATGTTTTGTTTAGGATTTTTCCATCTGTAGACAGAGTGAGATTGCTGTGTCATTTCCTTTTTTTTTTTTCTAACGTTCTTGTCAAGTTTTGGTGTCAGGGTTATTCTGCCTCATAAAATGAATTGGAAAGTGTTTCTTCTTTTTCTGTTCTCTGGAAGAGTTTGTTGAGGGTTGCCATTATTTCTTCCTTAAATGTTAGGTAGACTTCTCCAGTTATGCCATTTGGTCTAGAGTTTTCTTCTAGGAAAAACTGAAATTATGGACTCAATTTCTTTAGTAGTTATCAGACTGTTCTGAGTATTTCTTCTTATGTCAGTTTTAATAAACTGTACTTTTCAAGGAATTTGTCCATTTTGTCTACATTTTCAAATTTATGGGCAAAAAGTTATTCATAATATCCTCTTATGATTTTTGCAATATCTATTAATATGTAGTAATGTTCTCTTTTTCATTCCTGATATTGGTTATTTGTGCCTCCTCTTCCTTGTTCTCACTCTTATTATTTTCCTGTTTTAGTCTTGCCAGGGCTTATTAATGTTATGATTTAGAGAATCAATATTTGGCCTTCTTAATCCTCTATTTTTTATGTTGATTTTTCACTTCATTTGTTTCTCCTTTTATGTTTATTTTCTTCTTATTTCTTTGGGTTTAATTTGCTGTTCTTTTCCTAACTTCTTGACCTGGAAAAATTCCTAACTTCTTGGAAGCTTAGCTCATCGATTTTCAGCCTTTCTTGTTTTGTTTTTCAAATATATGTATTTAAGGCTATAATTTCCCTCTAAACATGATTTCTAGCTGCATCCCACAAATTTTAATATGTAGTGTTCTCATCATTCAGTTCAAAATATTTTCTAATTTCCATTGTGATTTCTCCTCTTACCCAAATGTTATTTGGAAGCATATTTCCTAATTTCCAAACATACAGTGATTGTCTATCTTTTTTGTTAATGATTTCTAGTTTAACTGCACTGTGTTCAAAGAACATATGCCATAGAATTTCAGTTCTTTGAAATTTGTTGGAACTTATTTCATGGCCCAATATAGTCTTTTTGTAAATATTCAGTGTCTGCTTGAAAAGAGTGTGAATTCTGCCACTCTTGGTTCTTGAATTCTTCTCCCCTAGGTCAAGTTCCTTATTGTGTGGTTCAAATCTTTTATATCTTTATTGATTTCTGTTTTTGTCTTCTTATTCTATTAGTGATTGAGAGAAGTGTATTAAAGTCTCCCAAGATGATTGTGGAGTTTTCAATTTTTCTTTTTAGTTCTGTGAATTTTTGTTTTATCTATTTTGAGACTATGTTATTAGTTATATGCAGATTTAGAATTGTTATATCTTTCTGATATAATGATTTATTGTATCTTCTTGATTTAATGAATTATATAGTATATCTTCTTGACTTAATGAACCTTTTGTCATTAAAAAGTGTCTGTCTTTCGCACTGTTTTTGAAATCCACTTTTTAATAAGTGGTGTTGAGATAACCAGATAGCCAAGTGGAAGAGATAATATTGGACCCATTCTGTATAACATTACACTAGGATGAATTCTAAATAGATCAAAGATTTAAATGTAAAAATGAAACTATACATGTATTAGAAGAAAACTTAGGTAACTTACTTTACAACCTAAGAGGAAGGAAAGTTTTCCTAACTATGACTCCAAATCCAGAAGGAATAAGGAAAAGGATCGATAAATTTGGTTACATTAAAAAAAAAAAACACAAAGCTTTTTCATGGCAAAGTATACTTTGCATAAGCAAAGGAAAATAAGAAACTGCAAAAAAAATTTTCAGCTTCTATCACAAAGTGTTAATAGCCATAGTATATAAAGAGCTTCTCAAAATTGAGAAGACCAATAACCTTAGAGAGAAAAAGGTTGAAGCTATATCTCTGTGATGAACCAACATTTTATTAAAAAAGAAATGCAAATGCCTCTTAACCATATGAAAATATGCTCACCTTTGCTCCTAATAAGAGATAGACAAATTAAAAATACCCATTTCTCAACTATCTAATTAGTAAAAATTCAAAATTTTGATAGAGATTCTGTTGGCACTATTATTAATAGGAAAAGATTGGATACAATCTAAATAGTAGAAGAATGGATGAATAAACTATGGATCTGTCAACAGAATAAGGAAAATCTTTATATATTACAGAATGATCTCTAGGATGTAATAAGGGAAAAATTAAGGGGAATACAATTGTGTATAATGTGCTACCACTTATCTAGGACAAGCAGGAATAGAAATAAATGCACATACAGTCATGTGCCACATAATGACGTTTTGGTCAACGATGGACCACATGTATGATGATGGTCCCATAAGATGAGCACCATATAGCCTAGATGTGTAGTAGTCTATACCATCTAGATTTGTGTAAGTACACTCTATGATGTTCACATAATGACAAAATTACCTAACGACTCAATTCTCAGAATGTATCCCCGTTGTTAAGTGATACATGACTGTATTTGATCCATTAAGAAACCATGGAAGGATGACCCATAAAATTGAAAAAAGTTTCACTTATAGAGAAAGGGAACATATAGGGTCAGGGGACAGAGAAGACAGACTTGTTCGAAATACGTTTTTTTGTAGATTTGACTGGAACCATGTAGATATTTTTTATAATTATAAAATTAATATATTTTAAATAAAGTTATCCCTAGAAATTGAAATTAAAATGTAGTAAATGACCTTAACTTTGTATTCACTTGGTGGCATTAGCACACAGAGAACTATTCCAGGCAATCTGAATGTACATCCCTTAGTGTGATATTCCCTAACAACGACAACAAACAAAAACCTGTTTTCAATAATTATATTGTTATTCTGAGATTGTCTTTGTATTGTGGCATAAGTCAAATGAGTTACTATGTTGAGGTCCCTGAGACTAAAGAGTTTTTTACATGATTAAAAGGAGATGTAGATTTAACATCGCTGATAAGGTTAAACGAAAACCCGTGTTCCTGAATTTGAATTGCTAGGATCAGTCTGAACTCATAAGGTATTTTATCTTTAAATATATATGTAATATATATTTATATATGTACATACACATATATTTATATATGCATATATATTATGGCACACACACATACATACATACACATACATATGCACATATGTGAATTTCCTAGCTTCGTGCACTAGAAAGAACAAATGACCAACCCAGTAGCAGTGTGCACTGCTCGTGCCCAGACTGTGACCTCTAAATACCATTACCCAGGGCCGGCCCGGTGGCGCAAGCGGTTAAGTACACGCGCTCCGCTTTGGTGGCCTGGGGTTCGCAGGTTCGGATCCCGGGTGCGCACCGATGCACCGCTTGGTAAGCCATGCTGTGATGGCCTCCCATATAAAAAACAGAGGAAGATGGGCACTGATATTAGCTCAGAGCCACTCTTCCTCAAGAAAAAAGGGGAGGATTGGCATCGGATGTTAGCTCAGGGCTAGTCCTCCTCATACACACACAAAAATACCATTGCCGAACAAGAGTAACCAGGGCTTTTTGGGAAAATGGTTGATTCTAGGTCTGGGGCATAAAATGTACATTAGCTTGGAACGTCTTGTCATAACAGAAAGCAAGGAAGCAATCAAAGCTGACTAGGGTTATGTTGAGAAGAATTCAGGAGCCAACATGAATAAGTGCCACTGGTCAAAAAAAAAATGGGACAATTTGAGCATCAATAAAGATAATAACTGCCATGGACTGAAAAACATAAAATATGTTGAAATCCATGACTTTATAATGGTACTACTAAAACAACAAATAAACAAAACTCATTTGTTACTTTTGGAAGATGCCCAGGCAAGAAACAACTCGTCATTTTGAAAACTGGTAAATTAAGAGAGAGAATCAACTCCTTTTCTTTTCCTTTTCCTCTTAGGATCTGTACCTCAGAGCAGTCAAAGAGTTGATATATGGAAATTTCTCTTGATAGAATTTTTCCAGCTAGTAAACAAATAATGATATAATTGGAATATCACCATTTTGCAACTCAAATGAATTAATGGGTTTAGGCAATAACCATCAAAGACTCTTACATTAACATCACAGAGAAACAGCTAGGTCTTATGTATATTATGATGGAAGTACATAACACCACCCATGAAGTAGTCTTGCCTAGTAATAATAATAAAAATAAAAATAAATAATAATAATACTAGAATCTAACCAAGCCTCTAGATCTAACCACCAACTTATCAGAAATATAGGACACAGAGCGATAAGCATTTATAAGGCACTTGGGAAATGTAAACATTAACTGGAAAACTCATAATACTGAATGATTGTTGTTTTTATTTTTTAAGTGTGATGATGGTAGAGTGGTTATTTTCTAAGCGCTTATCCTTTAGAGATACATACTGGAATATTTACAGGTAAAACAATGTGATGTCTGAGATTTATTTCAAAATAATCCGTAGGTATGAAGAGGACAGTGATATAAATGAAACAAGGTTGGACATAGAATGATAATTGTTGAAGCTGAGTGATAGGTACATCTGATTCATTATATTCATCTCTCTGCTTTTGTATATGTTTGAAATTTTTCAAAATAGAAAATTAAAAAAAAATTTTAAATAATCACCAAAAAATAATCACTTTTCTCTAAAAAAAAAGCCCTCCTTTTTTCTCTGGCCTTAAAGTCTACTTTTTAAAATTAAAATTGCTACACTGGCTTTCATTTGGTTGGTATTTGTACAATATATTTTTTCCATCTTTTGACTTTCAGTCTTTCTGTATCTGTATATTTAAGGGTTGTCTTTTGTAAGCAGTGTTTAGTTGGGTTTTTAATCTTTTTATCCACTTTGAAAATCTTTGACTCCTAATTGGAATATTTGGAACATTTATATTTAATAGAATTTCTCATACATTTGGGTTTAAATCTCTATCTTAACATCTGCTTCCTCTTTTTCCCCTCTGTTCTCTGTCTTTTCCCCTCTCTTTTCCTGCCTTCTGTAATCACTTTCTGTTCTTTTAGTGGTTACCCTAAGGATTACCACATGAATCCTCAACTTATTAAAGTCTAATATAAATTAGTACTTTTACCTCTTCCCAGACAGTTAAAGGACCTTAGAACACTTTAACTCCATTTATCTCCTTCCAACTTATATGCTACTGTTGTCATGTATTTTTATTTTTTATATGTTTTAGCCCCACAAAACATCATTATTATTGTTTTATAAAGTTAATATTCATTTATATCTACCTACACTGTCATGTTTTCTTTGCTCTTCATTCTTTCCTAAATCTCTAAGTTTCCTTCTGAGATCATTTTCCTTCTTGAAGAACACCCTTTAGGCTGGCAACTCTATGATCACACTGGACCACATAGGAAACTATGGTATTCATGAAAGTGAGTGATCATGGAACTCCGAATCAACTATTATTAGCTTTCTTTAGGAAAAGGAAAGATTTCTTTCAAAAGATTCCTGTTTTCATTTGTGTCAATATTTTCACTTTACCTACCTGATCTGACCAACTTTGAACATGTCTGATTTTAACTAATGAGTTGAAAACTTACTTTGATGAACTGTGGCATAGGCTCATCCATGCTGTAATAATCACCAGACCAAACAGCTCCCTATAAAATAGGATACATTTCATATTTTTGAAGTAGCTACAAATGAGAGGCATATCATCCCATTCTTTCTATGACCACTGGATTCTGCTGATCATTGGATGACTCTCCCCCAAGATATATAGCATCTACAGAATATTCTCAAGTCTGGCCATGAGTCATAAATTACTTTTTTCAGACAGTTTAAAGCCTTATATGAAAATAATTTTCATTCTATGAGGCAGAGATGAACTCCATCACTGTTCCCAAACTTATAAATGAACAAAAAAACAACAAAACAAAAACACAGATAAATCACTTACTTCAGGTCACTGGGAGGAATAGTACAACCAAGAAAACAATCTCAGATTTGATCAGGGATTCTTTTTACGTTGTTCTAGAGGGTTCAGTGTTAGGCAGGTTGAGCTCAAATCAATAAATAATTTGAGCACATATTCAGAAGATTGGATCCCATGTTAGTGGAGAGGAATGATTTGTAGTATTAGTCAGACTAATGATTCTGGGGTAGGTATATGCTTCTAGAAATATGTGTTAAAAACACGTATCTTTTACATAGAGTGGAACACAATCATATTTGGCCATTGTACCACTGGAAGCCCCACGTGGAGTTCATAACTCATGGGTTTCAAGTTGGTGGAGGTGATTCAACACATTTGATTTATATTCTCATCGACTGACACAACCTGATCCAGTTTTCTAAGGACTAGGGCCTATAATTTAGCAGCACCTCGCCCGCGATGCTTAACTTACGGGTCTTTAAAGCTTGTTGTTAGCAGGTGTTAGCAATGGGATAGAAAAGAAAGGAAAGGGTCTATTAGTGAGGCCAGGGAGTCAAGGGTTGGAGGAAGCAAAAGAAGACTTGATAAATTAAGAACGAATGGTTGTGACAAAGGAAGATGACATGAGACATACCAGGCCAAGGCTGACAGAGGTTGACCTCTGAGGTAGGTGGCTGATCACGCTTGTAGATAAGATTTTGGCTTGAACCAGAACTGAATCAGAATGCCGATGGAGTTTTCACCTCATTATACTGGACTGTTACTGTATAGTGTCCTTGCTCATTATATGGAGGTCAAGGTCCAACTGCCTGTTGGTAACCTAATACATAATGACTACCGTAGTAGTGATCATGGAGCGTGGTAGATGCTGCTAGGTTTGAATCCTGGCTCCATCATTTCCTCAGTTTCTTTAGCTTATGAAGGAGATAATACCCTTCCTGCTCCTCATGGTGTAGTTGGGGGGAATTACGTCATCATTGTGCAGATAAGGTGTTGGAAAGGAACAGAAGATTTCTCAGTTTTACCCTACTCCTTCCAAAGAGCAAAAGTCACTGCTCACCTGCCTTCTTCCTCATGTATGATGTTCTGTTGTGTATGAAGCATGAGGTAGTACGCCAAGCCGACAGCCCACGAGATACAGAAGAATATGTGCATTGTAGAGACAGTCTTCCAAATAAAGTTCCCTAAAAAGAGATATCCTGATGCTGTTAATCGTGGATCACATCCCAGAGAAAAATGATCTCTTTGCCATAGTCTGCTTTCAGGTAAAGCATTCAGAAAAAGCTGGGTTTTTTTTTTTTTTTTCAGTTTAGTTTTGTTTTGAAGGACATCATAGGGGTCGAAGCAGTAATTATAAATTGAAGTGGACATTGATTGTTCTGGTTGTCCAGCATCTCCCTCTTCTATGACAACTACCCTTATTTTCTTTGGGGATCCACCCTTCCCACACCCCCAGTCCACGTGTCCCAGACAACTGGACCTTAGCTAGGTCAATCAATACACTTCAGCCCCTTAGCCGCTCAGTGATGTGGCTCAGGATGAACAGATGATGAATCAGGGCCAACAACTCAATTCTGAGCCTAGTGGAGCTATCAGGGGAGCGGAGGCTGTATTCTGCTGGACTTAGCATCAGGAAGAGGTGACCTTTGAGCTGCAGGGCGACCACGTGGAGCCCAGACTGAAGTCAGTGCAGTGGCTGTTGGAACTGAGAGTGCAGAGAAGTTTCCGTTCTGAGCCGCCACCAGTGCCTGAAGCCTGCACCACCCCAGCCTTTCAGTCAAGTATCCCAGTACATCTTTGCAGCTTATAGCCCATTTGAGTTGAGGGTTTTCCTTGCTTGCAACTAATGGAGCCCTAACCGATACACCTTAAAGAAGCAGACAGAGTTCTAGAGGCCTAAACAAGGAGTCTGTGCATCTGGAGGATGAGAGTCTTCCTCCCCAGGAGGGATCATTAGTCTTTATTCTAAGGCCTTGAGAACTTCCAAGCCCCACTAGCAAAAGCTATTCTAAAGGAAGTAAAGAATAACCTCTCAGGACTAGTCATCCCCATTAATAAGAAAATGTTAGTAAACAATGTAAAATGTATTTTTTTCTGTCATAAGACACTTTTATAGTATAAAACTGTCCAACTCAAGGTTTGTTGAGTTTTTAGGGCCATAAAAGGCGAAGCAGCTACCTTTTGTCCAGCATTGAGGTTGGCAGCCTGTGGGCAGCACAAATCAGCTATTTTAAGTGAAACCGTTTGACACGTATACTCAGCTGGGATATATATGTAAGGAGTCCAAGGAGCAGGTTACAAATAAGTAACTGGTAAAGCCTCTGTTTTACAGCCACTCAACAAAAGCATTAGGTACCAACCATATTCCTGGCCATATTTGAGTTAGGTTGGGCAAAGATGGCTTAGATGTGATCCTGCTTTTAAGAGGCTTACAGCCTAGCAGGGGAAACATACAGAAAAGCATGCAATAAATTGCCGTACGTACTATGACAGTACATAGGGAGATGAGGGAGAGCAACATGTATTAATGAAAAATCTGGAGATTTGCTATAGACTTTATAAACAGTTTCTCTACATATGTAGCACTTCCATATACATAGATGTTGAATGAATTCAAGATGAGAAAATGATTAATGGGAGTGGTATTGGTCTGAGAAGAATTTGTAAAGAGTAAATATATAAGACATTGATTGCCAGCGAGTATGGGGACACAAAGCTGGCACTTTGATAGTTGCTGATTTTCTGTTAGCTCGGTGGCTGAAGAAATCAGTGCAGTGCCTGCGGCCCTTCTCTCTCGTGGGCTGAACTGCATAACTCCTTCCACAATAGTATAAGAGACCTTGGGATCCAAACTGATACAGACTCTAAGTGTGGCAAGTCCTCGTGAAGTTTTCCTGAAGATGGGTGAGGATGACCTAGATTAGAATTAGCCCCCTCTTATTATCAGAAATGAGAAGAAAGATCTGGAGAGCCCCGCTTTTCTCCTGGGAGTTGGGCAGATAGACTCTCACTATTATAAGGAAATCTGATTTGCTGTATCACGATTCAGAATCCAAGGTTCCTACCTGTGACAAGGGGGTTAAGTCCAACAAGCAGAGTCAGTACCGCAGGTATCATATACACCACCTGTCAGCAAAGAGAGGAAATTATGTGGGTTAAGAAGTATGCCAGGTATAGGAGATGTTCAGAGGTATCTAGGAAGTAAAAAAAGATGACATCAGTGGCTGTCATGTTCCATAATTTACCTCTAGGTTTCAGTCAAATTGAGGAAGAGGTAACCCCTGCTTTTATGGCACTTACCATGTCAGTTTGTAATTTTATCTGCCTTCCTCCTAAACTATAGGCTATTCCAGGAAAGGCTCATTCATCTTTGAGCTCCAGCATTGACCAGGTTTGGGTCTCAAGGCACGCTGACCTCCCAGTCTCTCCCAAGCAACATCTATGCTCAAATGGCCATTCCCCACTCGCATAGAAGAAAATGTTCTTTGAAAAGTAAGGCAGGAACAGCCATAATTAGCTAGATGGCCCTGCTGGGTCTGGCCCATGGACCATCCAGCCCAACATTCCATCTCTGCAAGTGAGATCACAGAAAGTTTACTAACAATGTATAGATCCCACGTGCCCAATAAGATTGGCTCTTCATTTCGGAAACTTGATAAGTTGCTTTGGAGTTTGGAAGACTGGCCCTAAAGAAGCCCTATTTTCAAACCTCATTCATAGCAAGCAGACTCTAGCCAAACTTGCTATTGCGTGTATGTTGCAGACAGAGAGCAAGTAAGGGATGGTAGGTTTATAAGAAGCATGGGGGCTTTCCCAGGGATGTAGCTGCTCAACCACGTCAATTTTGATGCTTAGTTTAAAAGCTTTAGTTTATTTGGAAGCTGTCAGAGCTGTACATTTTAAGTGATTTGTTTTCACTATAAGAACACGTCTATTTTGACCCTAGGGAGAGAAAGCATCTGGATTACACACTCTGTGTTCATCTTTCCTACTCCAGCCCAAATGATTACTGGAATATTAGCTGATATTGGCATTTGCAAGTCTGGTCATCTCTCACAGGTGGACAGTCAAGCTACGGAGGGTTAGACCAGTGCTTCCCAAACTTTAATGAGCATGCAAAGCACCTGGAGATCTTGTTTAAATGCAGATTTAATTCTAGAGGTCTGGGGTAGGGCCCAAGGTCCTGCTTCTCTAACAAGCTCCCAGGGGCTGCTGCTGCTGTTGTTCCAAGGACCACACTTAGAGGGGTAAGGGGTTAGCTTTCCCCCTGTGAAGAACTACACGACTTAGCTACTGAGAGAGAGGGTGGTGGGGTGGGGGAGGAAGAGAGAGAGAAAGAGAAGTTGAACATACACAAACACACATACAATATTTAACTGCGCTCTCCATAAGAAATGTTTGGCAGAGATTATTAAAATGTGCACTCCAACGTATCAGCTATCTGTCATTAATAGATGAAGGGGTCTAAAGCCTTCTTATTTTAGTGTATTGTAAACATATGAACAAAACAACACTTTAAACTAAGTGATGGTTTCCCATGGCAATTGTGCTTGTTAATCCTTATTTAAATGTTTTTCTCTGTCTTGAATGAGATAAAAAAAATTTGTTTTAAGGGCAAAGAGACTGAAAATAATTGTTTCTAGTACACAAGTTAAAACTGCACACAGTACAAATACGCAATAATGAACTCAGTAGAACCCGCTTGCAATGGTCTTTTATCTTTTTGCTAGTGGATTTTTTTAAAAACGAAGGGTATCATAATACTTATTTACAATATTTAGTTTAATTCAACATTTAGCCCTTGAGTGCCATGGCAGTCATTCCTAATACCACTCTGCCTTGCCCACTTGCTGCCATAAAAGCTGAAAAAGCCTACTTGTTTTCCCGGCCTCTTCCGCAGCTAGGGGTGACCATGCTCCAGCAGTGAAATGTAAGAAGTCTTGTAGGGGCAAGGCTGACTCAAAGCATTTAACAACCAACATGCATGGGTGCTGACCAAGCAAAATGGATCCCAGGCCATAAGCCATACTAGTATGTACAAACTGAATAGCAGCCTGTCTGAGGGGCTTCCTGGGAAATATTTCCTCCTTGATAAAAGAGAGGAAAACTCATTTTGCAACTGCCTTGTTTCTTCATACATGGGATGCTCTTGGCTGGGGATGATGCTTGGAGCTGCAGCAGCCATTCTGTAAACATGAGGATATTTCACCCACACATTGAGAATGGCAGAGAAGAAACACAGAAAGCCCAGGTCCTTGATTGCTGTTGACCATTAAACAGCTGCCTTTGGACTTCTTGTTAAGTGAGGTACTCTATTTTTATAACCTAATGCTACTCAGATTTTCTATTACTTGCTCCTGTATGCATCCTGATAGAAGTATCCTCCAAGAGCAAGATGAAGTAGGGAACATGGAAATGAATCAGGTGGAGTATGAGCCCCCAAAACCCAGTAACCTAAAACTTGTTCATCTGTGCATCCATTCATTCTTTCATTCATTCAACAGTCAATATGGAAAGGACTGCCATAGGAAGGCTCCATGTTAGGTTGCCTGAGGACCACCAAGAAGAAGGAAGAACTGGTCCCTGACCCCTGAGCTGGCATGTACAGAGCCAACTCTAATGCAAAGCAGAATGCGTTAGTGCTACAATAAATGTTCAAAGGAAGGATGGTTGGAACCTATGGGAAAGAGGCAGAGAGATTTTTTTGGATGAGATAGCATTTGAGATAGACCTTGAAGCTTGAGTAGACTATGACACAGGACTTCTAGGGGCAAGGCACAGTGACTATTATAGATGGACTGGGCTTCCAAGACCAAGCTGGGAAGGTGGGTTGGAGCCATACTGTGGTGGGCCTTGAATTTCAAGTTGGAGAGTTTCAACTTAGGCATCTTTGAAAATGACAAGTTTCTGAAGCAGGAAGATATATAAGAAGTGTTCTAGGAGTGGAAGACATTAGAGGCAGCTAGAAGATTTAGGAAGCTATTACAAGGGTCCACGTGGGAGGTAATGGAAGGCTAAACTGGGGATGAGGGAGGAAATCTGTGGGGCCCTGGTGTTTATCATTATGCATATTAGGTCGTATAAGCATGAAGTGAAAAGTAAAATGTACAGGTACCGTACAGATAAGCCATTAGACCTAGACTGTTTTTTGTTAGATTGCTTTGTTCTTTATTTTGTTTTTTGAGGGGATCTCTAAGACAGTGGTAAGGAACAGAGAGATGTTAGAGGTGACTGAGGTTTTGAGCAAGGATGACTCAAGAGTGATTCTGCTGATAACAGAAATGAGAGGAGGAGTGGGTTTCAGAGGGAAAGATGCTGCTGGGACCTTGGGCATATCTGTGGAGCCAGTGTGACGTACAGATGGACAGATCTAGCAGTCTTTTGGAAAGTCCACATTAAGTTGGATATTTGAGACTTGTCTGCAGGGACATAGTATTTGGAACTCAGGATATGGACCAGAGTGCTGAGGAAGAGGCAGTTTGATTTGATTCGGGGGCAGGTGAATTTGGACAATAAGCAGTATCAGAATGCAGTTCTACTACACTAAAAAATCTGACTAGAATTTCACATCATAATTCCAAATGATTTCACTTGTTGATAATCTGTACATGGTCAACATTATTCCAAAGCCTAAAATAATCTAATTGGTGATAGTGTACAGTCTTGTGCATCTGTATTGAAAGAAACTGGGCAAAATCAGATATTTCCGAAAATGTGTGGAACGATCTCCCCCTCCTCCAAATGGTTCAATCAGAATGTTGGTTCCGTGTATATTGTAGGTTTTATGGGCTTTAATTACTTTCTGTAGATATAACTCACTGAATTAGCAGAACCACAAACCTTAAGCCTGCCATTTTCTGGTCAAAGGTTCATTGGAGTTTCTGGGTAGAAACCCCTGAGAAGTGAGTTGACCTTGAGAGTTGCACTCTGTCTTCAGATGACTGTCCTCAGTTGGACCATTTTATTCAAACGAAATACTGCTGAAAGGCCCCTATGTCTCTGGAAAATTCTGAATTTGCACACACACATACACACACACACAGGCAAACACATTACATTATCACTCTGATCCCTTTCCCCTAATATTTTAGGGAAAAGAACTTACGAAGGATTTGATTTCTAAGTTTTCAAGTACACAAAGCAGGGAGGAGGGGCAAACATAAAATTGTATATTACATGCAGTGCCACAATTCTTTCAAATGGAGGAAAGCGGCTCATACTCACCGTCCAGACTTCTGCATCTGGATCATTTACCTGGAATGCCAAGACATCAAGGCGTTAGCAGAGGTGCTGGCACGTTCCCTTCCTATATTTGGTCTGCTCTTTATTCCTTTCAGTCGTTTAAGTGCCAGATGCTGCAACAGGCAGCGAGGAGACAAAATAGGAATAAGACATCGTCTAGCGGATCACGACGGTGAAGGGGCTTCTGGCCACCACAGTAGATGGTTTGAACATATAGCCACACGTGTTTGTAAAGTCTGCACAGGAACTCTGAAAAGGGTGAGTCAAACCTAGAATGGGTATTTTAAGGGCCCCCCGTCTCAAGGAATGAGGAAAGCTATTATGAAGGGGGCCCCAGAGCGGACTTGAAAGGATAATCACACTGTATAGGGTTTTTGTTCTGCTTGCCCTTCCCAGTCCCTGAATTGTGTCGCCTCATCCACAGGCTGCACTTAAGGTGCCAGGGCTGCTTCTGCTCAGGTCCCTTTCAAAGTGACACGCGCTGAACCAGCTCCTTCCAGCATTTGAGCAAAAGAGAGGTGCGCGGCGCGATCACACGAACATAGCTGTGTCTTAGGCGGGTAGGGGGTGGGGGCTCCCAAAGCATAAACCCCAATTGCCGTCCTCCAGCTAAATTGCCTGCCTCTGTGACCCAGCCGGCTCGTCAGTCCACCCCGCACCCCAGGCCTGGGGGCGGAGCTCGGAGCCCGGCGCCCCGCAGGCCCCTCTCCCGCCGCCCGGGCCGGGGCCGGGGCGCTGACCTGCACCGCGGCGGCCAGCGCGAAGAAGGCGGCCATGAGCCAGTTGCAGGCCCTCCACAGGGCCGGCGCCCAGCGCCCCGCCGCAGGCGCCATCGGCTCGGCCGCAGCGCGGGGCGGAGCGGGGCGAGAGTCCACCGGGCCGGCTCTTCCTTCCTTCCGCCCCGCCCCGGCCTCCTGCCCCCGCCGGGCCTCGTCATCGGGTGGCCGGGGCGCGCCAGGCAGGGAAGCGGCTGGCTTGAGCCTCACTAGGTTCTCCCAGTGGCTCCTCCCCAAAACGTGGCCAGGTGTAGGTGTCGGTATCCCCATTTCACAGACGGGGAAAGTGAGTCCCAGAGCCACCGGGTGACTTGCCCAAGATCGCACAGCCCGACGGCGGTGGAAAGAAGTCGCATTTGAACCCCTATAGGTCCAACTCCAATGCCTGTTTTCACTAAGGCTCCCTTCCTCACGTTTAAAAAAAAAAATTAAAGGCAATTAAAGGGAAGGAAGGAAGGGAGCTAGGGAGGAAAGAAGGGGAAAAAGAGAGACGTGCGTGTGCGCGCGCGAATGGTTTCTGGTTAGTATTTATGCATTTCTTTCCAAAGCTCAGGAACTTTCCAAGCCCAGTAAGCATTATGGTAATTTCTTAGAGTGACGACGGTTATATTAGCATCTTATAACAGCTCACAGCTTTTCTGCAGACAGGCTCATTTATCTTCATGGGCTTTTCTTATAAAAGGTATTTACATATTATACATATTTACAATTCTTTCCCACCACCAAAACCAACAAAATTTCCACACGGGTTGCTCATGAATTTCTTATGAACTAAAGACTGAAATATTCACTGTTCTTCCCTGGCTTGTTTTATAGTCTTTTGCTGTTTTGTAATTTGCCCTTCTGATTAGTTCTTCCCCAGGCTCATTTACACATCCACAGGCCTCATCATTTTCGCTGTTCTAAAGAGTCTTTATCACCTCAAATCATGAGCGCCTGTCCTCTTCTTTTAGCTAGATCTCTGAAAACTCTGTAGGAATTTTTTTCCAGTTTCATTCCTTTCAAGGAATGCTTATTTCAAGAACGTTGTCTGCTGGGTGCCTGTCTCCACTCTTGGTGCCGGGACCACGGAGGTGGATTTGCTGTGTGCTCTTCAGGAAGGGAGCTACATGTAAACAGTGGCCACACTGGGATAAAGGCCGGGCAGAGGGGTTGCCACTGCTTAGAGTTGGACAAGGCTCCTCACTGAGTTCCACCACTAGATCAGCCTTGGGAGTGGGGACAAGTTGTCACCACCCTCACTGTCCTGTTCCTTATCTGGAAAAAAAAAAAAAAAAAAGGAAAGGGTAGAGTGTTATGGGCTGATTATGTCCCCCCACCCCTCCCAAATTCATACGTTGCAGCCCTAATCTCCACTACCTCAGAATGAGCCTGTATTTGGAGATAAGGTCTTTAAAGAGGTGATTAAGTTAAAACAAGGTCATTAGGGTGGGCCCTAATCCAATATGACTGCTGTCCTAATAAGAAGAGGAGATTAGGACACACACACACACACACACACACACACACACACACACACACACAGAGGGAAGGCCATGTGAGGACACAGCAAGAAGGCAGCCATCTACAAGCCACGGAGAGAGGCATCAGAGAGACCAACCCTGCTGACACCTTGACCGTGGACTCCTAGCCTCCAGAATTATAGTCAGAAAACAGATGTCTGTTGTTTAAGCCCCAGTCTGGGGTACTTTGTGATGGCAGTCCTCACAAAGTAACACAGGGAGCGATTATAACACCTGCTCTGCCAGCCAAACAGAGGCATGGTGGCAAGGAAAGAGAGGTGGGAAAATGCTTTGTGAACGATTGTGTGCCACACGACCAAATGGAGTTTCATAATTGTCACTGTTGTCTGGCACCTTCCCAGGTCACTGTGTGGACATCTGTTCTTTTTGCCTGCCCAGGGTTCATTCCCCTCTTCTAGGGTCAGCATCCCAATTATTGGGGAAGGGACCCCATCTCCCACTGTTGGGGCATATATACTAGGGGGCTGACCGTGTTCCCCTCTCTCCAGGGATGGGCTGGTGACCCTGGCCTGCCAGCTGGCATAGCCCATTCTCCTGACCACAGTGCCTGGGTCTGGGATGGTATGTGGTCCAGACTGCCCCGATTCAGTCTTAGGACCTGTGCTAGGCTGAGGGTTGCCAGATACAATACAGGATGCTTAGTTACATTTGAATTTCAGATCAACAGGGAGTAATTTTTTAGTGTATGTCCCAAATATTTGCTAAATCTGGTAACCCTAGCTGGACTATGAAAGGAAGCTTTCTCTTTGCTGAGTGTGTTGAGCTGGTAGCATGCAACCTGGAGCTGCCAGGAGAAAGCCTTCCTGAGGGGGAACTCCGTGTAGAGGAAGCAGAGCTCAGAGATAAAGAAGGCAGGTACCTGAGGACATCACTTGAGCCTCTGGATAGAGCCACGCCTGAAGCTGGGAAGCACCTCTCCACCTTTCAGTTTTGTGAGCTCATCAAGGAAGTGGTTAGGCCTCTTGGCCCCTGCCCACGATGGGACCCCTCTCCCACATAGCCTGTGCTCCCTACAGCTTCCCCGGAGGGTCAAGGCTTGTCAGAAGTTGACTTGGCTTCAGTTGGACTTCTCTTATCTCCCCCATGGGAACGGGGGTCCTCTTCTTCTCTTCTCCTTACACTTTGCTTTTGTTGCTTTTATAGCACTTCTTAGTTTTTATCTTGCGCTGATTGTTACGTGGGCACATTTATTGTCCTTGCTCCTGGACTATCCTGCAAATTGCGGGAGGTATTTTTATTTCTCTCCCACAGTACCTGGCATACCTGGATTCCAGCAGTATCCAGTAGGGAATGGGGATATACTGAAATGTTGTTTATGAAGCAGTCAGTGGAGCGGGCCCAAAGCTATGTCTCCCACGAGAGTGAAGCATTTCACTAAACAGCTGCTGTCCTCCTGTGAACTGGAGAGGGCTTAAGGGTCATCTGCAGACCAGAGGCTGAAGGGGCAGTCCTGCAGGGCCTGCTTTGATGCCGTTTTACTCACCTCTTAGCTATTTTAAAGACCGGAAAGATTTTCCACCTGTGCCCTTGAATTTCAGAGCCTGATTAGGTAGAGCTGTATTTGGAGATAGGAAGGCAAGTTAAGTGACTTTGAAGCCATTTTCTCTCTAATCCTTTCTGATTTAGGACTAGGCTGTTGGAATTGTGGGTGTCCACAAGATGGCGGACTTCTGCTACCAATGGAGTCAGCGCCCTTAGTTGCTCTTGGGAGGAAGAAGGGAAGGAGGGAAAAGTGGGCTGGCTGTGCTTCCCTGGGTTCCCCCTGAAAAACTGTGATGTAGACTGTCTGGGTGGGTATGAGTTGGCACTAGCCTGACGTGAAGAGGTACAAACAGAACTTTGTACCAGGAAATATTTGTGTCCAAACAGGGGTGTTGCAGGAAAAGAGTTGAGCTTTGCTGTGGTGCTGGCAGGACTTCAAACTGTTTGCTGTCCCAAGACTGCAGGAAAATCAGGTACGCTTAAGAGAAGCAATCGCATCTTCTAATATCGGAACATTCCAAAAGTAAATAATAATGATAATGGCCATCAATTATTGAGTATTTACTGTGAGCTCGGCTGCTGCCCTTTCATCTCCTTGACATCTTCAAGTCATGACAAATTCTACATTTCTCAATCTAAACTCATACTCTTCCTCCCTTCCCACGAGACCTGGATCCCCCAGGTTCTCCTCCCTCCATGAATGGCACTATCACCTATTCAGTTACTCTTTGGATTAGTTGCCTAGGGCTGCCTTAGCAAATTATCACAAAATTGGTGACTTAAAACCGCAGAAATTTATTCTCTCACAGTTCTGGAGACCAAAAGTCCAAAATCAAGGTATCAGCAGGGATGCACTCCCTGCTGAAGGCTCTGGGGGACACTCCTTTCTTGCCTCTTCCAGCTTTTGGTGGCTCCTTGTGACCACATCACTCCAATCTCTGTCCCTTCACATCGCCTTCTTTGTGTCTGTGTCTTCTCCCCTCTGTCTCTTATAAAGAGACTTGTCATTGGATTTAGGGCCCACCCAGATAACCCAGGATGATCTCATCTCGAGATCCTCAACTTAATAACATCTGCAAAGACCCTTTTTCTAAATAAGCTCACATCCACAGATTCCAGGGGTTAGGACATGGACATATCTGTTCAGGGCCACCATTCACCCCATTACACTTATTGTGGAAACCTAAGAGTTGTCCTTGACACCTCTTCCTTCCTCCTCCTTCCTCATGAAGTCCACCACTGATTCTGGTAGACTTTCTGCTCAGTGTCCCTCTATCTTCACTGCCATCACCTCGTGTAAGCCACCAGCACCTCTTCCCTAACCTCCTAACTGGTTTCCCTGCATCCATTCTGGTAGGGACTGAATTGTGGCCCTTGCCCCACCCCGATGCGTATATTGAAACTCTAACCCCCAATGTGACTGCATTGGGAGATAGAGCCTTTAGGGAGATAATTAAGGTTAAATGAAATCATAAGGGTGGGGCCCTAATCTAATAGGACCGGTGTCCTTATAAGAAGTGGAAGAGATACTGGAGATATCTCTCCGTGCACACACAGTGAAAAGGCCATGTGAGGACACAACGAAAAGTTGGCCAACTACAAGCCAGGAAGAGAGATCTCACCAGAAACTAGCCCTGATGTGAGAACTGTGAGAAAATAAATGTCTGTTGTTTCAGCCACCCAGCCTGTGATCTTTTGTTATGGCGGCCAGAGCAGAGTAATACACCCTCCGAGCTTCCTCCCACTCAGTCTCCACATTGCAGATCTGTGGTAGACACAGATCTCAAACCTCTGCTTAAAATCAACCCTTTCTCCTTCCCTTCCTTCCACAGATTGGCCTAGGCACTGTCTGAGTACTAGGGATATGGCAGGGAATAAAAGAGACGATGCCCACCTGACAGTCTCGTGTGAAGCTTGCAGTCCAGGCGCCCTGGCTGTCTATGGCTCTGAGGTTAAAGACCCACATTTTGAACATGGTCTACAAAGCCTTGATGGTCGAGCACTGCCCAGCCTCGTCAGCTTCCGCTTATTCCCTGCTTGCCTTCCTTCCCCGGGACTTCACATACACGACACCCCCCCCTTCGG